GCGATTATCCCACCTCGAGAGCTTTTCTATCTCGTCCTCGGCGTTTAGTTCCCAGCTGAGTGACCTTATGCTAAACCCGAGAATTAGTGGCCTCTCCTTCAGTCATCTCCGTGTGTTTTCCATCTCCCTGCAAGATAGCTCGGATATTCCCTTTGTCAGTGCGATCCTGAAAATGGCGTCCTGCACACTGGAGGAAGTTCATCTGATGCATCAATGTATGTTCATCTGACAGTTGCCGACTCGCGTCTCACATATCCATATCCAGCTTTGCGCCCAATATTATTGGACAACCTCAACATCTCCTGTCTCCGAAAAGTTACCATCACCTTCTCCCACCCCATATACCACGAACGCCACTCCTCGACGATCAAGTCGTGGGGTAAATTGTTTGATAAACGCGCCAGCGAGGTGGAGGAGATCGTTGTGCGTACCGTCGTGTCAAGCCCCAGTCTCTTTGGCCATATGGACTATGGTGTTTGGTCAGCGTGGGATGCTACCCTATCGGCCTCGAGATCTCGGCTTCGGAGTTTGCTTTTTCAGCTGTTTTGCACCCCGATGCAGGCCAAGTCCATGGATGCGCTGCAGCAGGGTATAGAGGACCAGTTTCCGGTATTGAGAAGTCGGTCCTTGTTCCGGGTTGAGGTGAAGAGCAGAATTGATGCTGAATCTTTCATGAACTTGCTGCAGCCATAGCGTATCGCAGAGGATCCTATTAACTTGTTAGTGCTGTAGTAAACCCATTGTTTCTCACACTACAATGCTGCGTACAGTTTTGAATGTGGTTGTTGTATCTTGCTGGATGTCCTATTCAGAGGAGAGATGAGGGGTTTTCCGCCGTAGCTAAATAAAATTTTTAAAAAATTCAGAAAAAGCTTGAACCAACGACATAGAAGCACTGTGGGTATACCACGGTCCCCGTCGCGCGCGTCGAAGACACGTGTCAGAAACAAACATCATCCCCGACGATCGATCATTTCACGCTTTCCTCCGCTCCAACAACATACAGACAAGGATGCTTTCTACAATATTCTCTGCATTAGTGTCTCGCTTGCCATGCATTGTGCTAGATAGTCCACCGACACAGCTTCGCGTCATATCCCAAAAGGCGGCTTGCCGCCGGAATGAAATTGTATATCAATGCTATCCCTGCGAACTTTCTGCCAACTGGCACTGCTGCCTTCTACCTCCATGACAAAGGCGACAATTCTACTCCTTTAGCTGTATCTTGCATCGTTCATCCTATCTAAGGAGATTTCCGAGCGTGGTGTGCCTTCTGCAGGCTATTACAGTCCGGCCGACAGTGGGGGGTATATGCTGACGGTAGGGATAAGTCCCAGGATTCAGCGTCTCAAAGTCTGCGCGGAAGGTTGTACGTCAGACGTACCCAGACGGCCAACGGGAGCCGGTGAATGCTATTATGTCGGGAAATTCCGACCAAGTTGTTCTCGCACAGCAATGCATGGACGGAGGAGGTCTAATGAACTATTTTCTGTAATTCTTGCATCCTACTCACTGCGCATCCCGTTCATTCCTACTTGAAAAAAAAAAAAAAACAGGTCTTTATCATTTTCTGGGGAATGCTTAGGTCAACATACCGGTAACTCGCAGCAAGTTGATTTGGGGGACGGCAATGGTTCCGTACGTTTTCAATTGGGTGGTGCTTTTTTTTTACAATGATGCGGGGGTTCATGTTTTATCAAAGGAAATGAAACAGCCGTGATGCGGTATAATTATGGCGATCCTACCTTTGGGTCTTGCACAGAGTCAGTCAAGGGGGGCGACCACTTTCGTACTGGGTTCAGAATGGTAGTGGGGCCGACAGGTGAGCGCTCACGCGTCGGTTCAGCGTCCAGCCGCTGCATCTGACCTGAATTTCTTTTTTTAGCGGTGCCGTTTTCTTGGCTATATCTTATGAAACGTCCTCAAGCGACAAGCACGATATCATTGAAAACGGGTATAACCTCGGCCGCGACTATGTTGTCGGCAACATCACCAGCTCCGAAATACCTACACTGTCCTTGACTGGTTCTACGACATTTTCTGGGTCATCGTCCTCTCAGGGCTATACATACAAGACCGATATCATATATGTTACGGGACTCCTACCAAACACAAGCACCGGTATCAACCATAACCAATCTGTGTCCAACGACGGCGCGGTGAACGCCGTGGATGGTCTCGTCGCAGTTTTCAATGTTTCTATTACAGGGAGACCTAGCAGTGCTAGTAACGAAGGCTCTGGTTTGAGGTACGCTCTTTCTCCTTTGCAAGATGAAGGCACCAGAACTCAAGTTTGTCGTGCTAGTGACCTCAGGTGGCCAGAAATGTCTAAAACATGGACATTTCTCCTTGGCTTGTTCATAATTTCCTCTATTGCTTTGTGACGCTGGAAGTATCTTCTACGTAAGATTATACTCTGGGCATTGACATTATAGAAAATCAATCGACTGGACCGACTGTGTATGTTCATAATACTCTATATTACTTACTCAATAAACTATTTTTTAAAAAAGAGAAATTAGGATTCTGACGCTTGCATACGATAAAGGCTAAGTATGTGTGTATCACTCGAAGAACGAGGAAGCCATCAAATACAGGAAACAACAAAAAATCAAAAAGGTAATGAAACGTTGCCCACTCGCCGGACTTGTATCAGAGTGTACACTGTACTCATTCTTGTGCATCCACTGCTACTCGCGGGCCTATCAGTGCTTGCGTTTCTCACGGAGTTCTATTGGATCTCAATGCTTCACACGGGGGGATGGTTCATCTGCATGATATTTCTTGATAATAACAGAGCGGTACAAATGTGTTGTTTACTGGTCGTACCCTTGAACTTCGCTGTGTCGTATCAAGCAGAGCTGCACTTGGAGTAAGGGTACAAAAAGGCCGGAGACACAGGAAATTTCGAAGTGGGAAGGGGTGGATGCAAGGTAGCAATATTCCTCAGCTGCCGCCCGCGTTGGAAGAAAGCATTGTTCCCAGGAGTGGCGAGCTTGCGCAATTGATCCTACCCCGCCAGGATGATGTCAGATTCAAAAAGTAACAACACATCAATAAGTATACCGAAATATATGGCTCATTCGCTCGGTACCATCCTTATCGACAGCGAGTTGATGTGTGTCTGATATACCGGGCCTATTACTGCGATGGTGCAGGGTTTTTGGGGGCTGAAAATTCAATCACATCATGTTTACCATGCACCATTGTACTTGCATGGCGCTGTATCATGATATCACACAATCAATCCACATTGACACGTTGGGTTTTACGTTTTTACGTCCCATCAGATCGATGTGGGAACTTCAACGTCCTGCTGGCTAGGTCAAGCCTCTCCGGCAACATCCCCTGAGATCGCCAGATGTCCGCGCTGTAATGAATCATTGCATGCACTTCAGGTTTGTCGAGGTTAAGCTAGGAACGTGAAAATACGGTGTGTCGTCACCTGAGCATTCAAGTCAAATTCAAGTGTTCACCTTGCGTAGCTTAGTGGGTCTTTTCGGACTCTGTACATATCCGATTTCCTATTCTCAACGCTTCACACTGGGAATAGTTAATTTGCATGATATTTCCTGCCGGTAACAGAGCGGTACAAATGCATTGTTTAGTTCGTACCCTCTGAACTTCGCTGCATCGTATCAAGCAGAGCTGCGCTTGGAGTGAGGGTATAGAAAGGTCGGAGGTAGTGATTAATTGCCGGAGACACAGGAAATTTCGAAATGGGAAGGGGTGGGTGCAAGGTAACAATATGCCTCAGCTGCCGCCCGCGCTGGAAGAAAGCATTGTTTCCAGGAATGACGAGCTTGCGAAATCGATACCCCGTCACCGAGTTACACAAAACGGCAAAGCGGTGCACGACCTCACTTATAGTCGGTCGTAAAGATGGTTCTTTTTGAATCATATCATCGACAAGAGGGACAAGGAATTGTAGTGGGGGGTGTTTGTGCTAAGAAGGAGAAAATGAACGCCAACATCACTGAACACTGACAAATGTGTACTAACCACAAGGAAGTCTTGCTCCAACATGCTTCCTAAGCAAAATATATCGGTGGGAAATGGATTGCAACGGTCACCCTCTTTCGAACCAATGTATTCCGGAACATAACGGTTGCCGCAGTTCGAGACAGGCTCGTAGGGTATCTCTGGAGGTACACAACGACGGGACATTCCAAAATCGATTATAAAATAACGTGGCCAATACTCTGTGCGAGTAATGTGTTTTGCCGATCCGGTGAAAGTTGCATTCCTTCGAGGCTTGACGGGATGAAACCCCTTCGGATGGAGTTCGCTGGCATCGAGCATGATGTTCAAAATGGTCACATCCCTATCAATTTGTCTCAGCGCAGAAGTGACTACCCGGAAAAACTGATTCCACCGGTGAGCAACGAAATGGCGATGCAGAAATTCAACACCCTGTTTACATATTCATTGAAAAAACAGTAAATTATAGTGGATCAAGGTGAACCATACATCCAGAACTTGTCGAAACTGGGTGAATAAAACTGGCGCAGCCGAGGCATGACAAGGATCTCGAAGTCCGGGTCATATGGGGACTGTAATACATCATAGATCGGTACACAGTGATTATTCGGATCCTCTGAAAGCGGAGGTGAAGAAATAAAGACAGATAATTCGACTTCTAATGGAAATCGAGACTTGGAGACTCTTTTAAGCATCACCTGCCTCCCGTCTCGGATTCGCGTTGCGTCCATAATATAAGGTGACTAGTATTGAATCAGTAACTCAGACGAAAGTAAAAGAATTGAATCACTGACAGAATGAAGCGCCCTCTCCTCGCTCTGGAACATTTCATAGTTGGTCTTCCATGGTGGCTTCCAGCTGGGATCAAACTTGCGACGAAGTCGGTAACCAGAATTGTCAAGAAATGGCTGGTGTTTCCTCCACCATTTTTCGCATTTCATGAACCGAAGATTTGGGGGGCCCAGGTCTTTGCCAGACATGATAGTCGGGGTGATATTCAGTCGACTGGATGCCACGTGTTTGATGCAGTTCAAAACTCCGATCGATGGTACAATGATCGTGTACCTAACAAAATCGACCACTTCACATCTTCTCTTTGAGGCTAGGAATGCCTCAAACAATGGCGTAATCTTAACACATGCATAATGATGCATGGTGCCCGCATGGCTGTCTAAATTGCTCCTGAATTAGGCCGGGGGCCCAACAGCTTGGCTGCAGGAATTTGCTTTTGAGGGACCAGTGTGTACTCCCCATGACTGCTTTATGACAGTTTTCTATCTGGTTAGATATAGGTAAAATACGTTTCAACTACGTCACAGCTCAAAGGCTATATAACGCTTGTCCCATTCAAGGGCGGTTATTTTGCTTCGAAATATCCTCAGGCCTCATGTTGGATCCTGAACACCTTAAACCATCTTTGCTTTCTACCACTAATTTTAAGAACGGCAACACTTTGCTGGCATCTGTTTCTCTAGAATATGCGAGGCATGAGAAATGGGACAATGATGCTATAGAGCAAGTTCAATACATTTACGAAGAGTAAATCGTCATCAATATTTCCTTCATAGTCCTCACTGAAACTTTCTGCAGAGCTGTGACACAAAGACAAGAAATGGATGGCCAAATGAACAATCCGAAGCGAGCCAATCTTAACGTGGCAACGTTGGTAAAATCGCGACAATATCGAGACAGTGCAAACGGTGTTCGAAGGACTGCGCTGGTAGGCGCATTCATTAGATATCTATCTATCCCATCAGTTCTAATTGAACCACGTAGATAAACACAGCCTCATCTGGCCAAGACCCGCTTCCTTTTAACTGTAAATCTCTTCATCTTGGTGTCCATGTTAGATGCTCATCGTGTTCAAGGGGCAAGATACAAACAGTGAGAGTCAATTTAGGCCTGAAAACTGCCCCATTGACTGTCGAAATGGCAGAATTCCCTTAGAGGATGTCTTTCATAGTGGTGACGCCCGTTTATTTATATCAGATCTTTTTCAGAGATCAGTTTCGGAGTATAGTTAGTCCCCTTCCAAAGCTTTGATGGATCTCTGGATATCGCTGATCGGTTTATATAGCACATAGATGAGAAAGCGGCTGGAATTCTATCAACTATTGATGAGTATGTGCTTTCTTCTGTCGTTAGCCGATTGATCGTGTAAGCGTCTGCAAGATCCATATCAAGAATCTTTGCCTCATGAACCGCGATCACCTACGGCAAAGGCAGGTAATGTGATGGAGTATGACCACAATCGCTCTCTCCCTGCTCTTCCTGAACAGCCTTGTCGGCCTAAGCCATTACACGTGGTGAATCCTGGAAATACGCTTTCTGGATCCAGCGATGGGGGAGGTACTACCCTGACGGAAGGTGTATATGTCAACAGTGGAACGCCTTTAACGTAGGTGCCTTGTTTCAGGCTCTACAATTTTCAAAATTTCTTCTCACACTTCATTAGTAGCTCCAGCTCCAGCTACGCAGCAGGATCTTCTCAGAAGTAAGGGTTATTTTATGTTACGGACACTGATCGACTAGGCTCGATGCAGCTCTACGGGGTATCCGGGAACGACTACCTCCTCAGGTAGAGCCTCTTCAGGGTAAATGTAACAATTACAACTAATCTCCCATCAGGATAAACACCTCAAGCTTTGGGAATCCTGGAAGGACGTCGTCAGTACATAGTCATTTCGGCTTTTTACCCGTCGGCGTAGCATTTACAATCTTTCAATAGCACCGACTCTGATATTCATAGCGACTGCGGGACTTACCATAGTGGCTCCACTCAGTGAGTCATGGACCATGCTCTACGGCGTCATCGTACCTTGACTTTCTGGGGCTGTTAGGCGTTTTAGTTCAGATAATAGCACGTATGGTGGCGGTCGCACCCAGTTGGTCTTTAAGTCCTATATCCATATAAGTCTGCTGAATTTCACTTTCCATGGTATCGACTATGAAGAGGGAAGTGACTCATCTGAGTGTGTTCAGAGCTTCTCATGTTCGCTTGCTCCACTAACATCCTTTCAAAGCCATGGTCACGGTCACCTTCCTACGGTGGAGGAGCAGTCGCACCACCATACATCCACTCCTGCCACGGCTGGGTCTAACCATGCCAAAGTCGCTCATCATCTGAGGCGGCCCAGCAATGACCAAAGTGCAATAGCCGGTCTCTCCAACCCCTCTGTTGATCCTCAGCTTAACAAGTAAGCTGTGATCTGATATCACACACATACAACGTCTAACTCCAATCGCCATGCAATTCAGATCTAAGAAGTCTGCAAAGAAGCGACATGTAGAGCAAGAGTAGTAGAACTTGCTTGGATTCCGAAGCCTCAGGAGGAGGAGGAACGTGATGGCCAGGTTTTGCTACTTCCTTCCTCTCAGCGAGCGGCCATTCCGCCGCCCCGCTCAGACGAGGAGCAGCCTGTATCTTCCGAAGGATCTACAGGTGAACCTGTCACCCTCAATACTTTCAAGGTCGAAAGGAAATCCTCTAGCAATTCATTTTTAACTGCGTTCTCCGAGACTGGCTGCATGGTAGGAAGTGATGGGAAGAGAAGCACCGACATTCAGCAGCTGTACGAAAAGATCGAAAAGATCGGCAAGGCTGTTCCTGCAGAAATTTTTGGTAAAATTCTCTTTGCCATCCTTGTGGTTGAACATAAGAGGCCCCTTGATAATGCAGCGAAGCCATTGAATCAGGCCAGGGCTTATGTAGACGCTGCCGTCAGGTTGCTTCAAGCTCATGGTATAACCGGACTGCCCGTGTTTGCACTCGCCACAAACGGCAATGATGGTGTAGTGTTAATGGCGTGGCACAGTGAAACCGCTGAGGTGTGTTTATTTTCCGATTCGAGATTTGCCATCTAATCGCTTTGTACAGAAAGTCTACCTTGTTGACCGATCAGTACAGCGATTTGATATATCGTCGCCCATAGAAGTGTTCCACTTCGCAACATTCCTCCTTCGCCTCAGAGATCATTATGTTGATCACTTCAAGGAGAACCCGGACCAGACCGAAGCAGCGAACAAGGCAGCACAAGAGATGGCAATGAAGGCAGAGGAGAAGCTGCGAGCGGCTAAGGCACAGGCAAAGGAGGATGGCCTGGACCCAGATAAAGTCGAAGTCCACATAGGCTGGGGATGGTGGAAATCCGCTCAGACACAGTGACCTTCGCATCTCAAAGAGTTGGGAAAGGAAGGGTTGAAATCACAGTTGGAGAAAGCAGCATAGGATCTAGGAAATTTACATTTGTCACCTTAGGTATACTTCATATGGTTTGCAATCTGTCGCATGTTTTTTATTTTCTCTTCCCAGTGTCTGGAACATTTCCAACTTGAAACCCTTTCGCATACCAGAGGTATCTCCTACATAAAATTACACACTGTCATCGAAGCTGGTGGTCATGTGGCTCCTCTACATGTCGAACCTTTCGAAGCGACTCATTGATGCCAATTTCGCCAGGCTCCTCGCATCGTTTTCCGACAATTCTGGGCCAAATAGCATGCGAAGAAATGAAAAAAGAGGCTTTTAAGATTCTGGGACCACAGCAAGTGTCGAGATGGGTGAGGATAGAAAGCAGCGGACAGGAAAATGACTACCTACCCATACCAATAGCAACTGTTTAACGCATGCAATGCTGGGATATGCAGGTAACGTAGCATATCATGTCTCTACGTCGCCCGTCATGAGTCTTTGTAGAAAAACACGTGAACATTCGGCTCTCTCGGCCACCGATCTCTGGGCCTTCGACCGTTTCCTCCAGCAATGGCGTGATATTGTATAAGCAGAGCATCTACATCAAGTGTTGGGATGCCTAGGAGGTATATAAGGGCCTGGAATGAACCTTTGCAGAAGGCGGAGAATAGAGCGAACTGTATAACTTGGAGGGTGATAGCGAAGAGTTCGTATCCATCTGCTTGCTTAACGCCAATGTCACCCACGTTTCATCATTCATGATCCTACCACGATGCAGCACCTTCAAGTCAGAAAGTTACCGCATATCAACTGTGGGCTGATTCCAACGTTAGTCTCTTCATCTTTTATCAGAAAACATGAATCATCTATCTCATTATTTTCAGCTTCGCCCATGAGAGAGCACTATATCAGGCTCAATAGTCTCCCAAAGAGGCTGCCATTATGGATGAAAGTCGAGACGTCAAGGCCTTACGCGGCTACTCTCTCGACAAACGTTCATAGACATACTCTTCACGGCACGCTATCTGTCTCAGACTTCAACAACAAATGAACAGCTTGTTTCATCCAGAGACACCGCCAGCATCTGTAGAGCAATTCCACTCATGTTGTGACACTTGTGAAAGCCGTCGAGGTGATTTTTATTCTTTTATCAATTCCTGGAACGGTTATCGTTTTGCGAGACTTGAAGCTTGAAGAACTCACAAGTTGTATATCTTCAAGAGTTTTGTTGTCAAGAAATGTTTCCATTAAACATTTCAAGTTGTCAAGTAGACACAGATAAACACAGTATTCGGAGATAGAAGAATGTAGTTGTACAAGGAAACTAACCTTTGACACGAAGGATAATCCAACTTATATTATTTAATTGCTGTGACTGAGAATCGCGGAGTCAGCTCCGTAAAGTAGCCTGAGAGCAGCTTCCTGGGTTCGGTGACAGAACAGTATTCCATCACTGCCCTTTTCGCCTTGTCGGCCTGGCCAAGGCAAACAAGGTCCAGAGAGAAAAGCAAGGGGTATCCTATGAGTCTCAAGGAGCTTGAAGAGTCTGAAGGACATCCAACTAGGCGAGTTAAATTGTCCTGCACAGTGTTGAGGCATGGTCGCATGTACTTGTTGAAAAGCATAGAATAAAATGGCCGTCGTCCATAACGTATCTGACACGCGAGCATCTCAACGTGCACGTCAAATTGTATCGAAATCCATAAAACAGCGTCATCCCAATCACTGTACAAGGTCAGATTTTTTCTTCTTACGTTTTTAGGAGAGTAAGATTAGGTAGACTCACAGAGGAATCGGCAAGTAGCGACACGATCACGTATCAACCTGCCCTCAGGAGCACGTGTTCAACAAGCGGGCCGTTGCAATCTCTTACAACTGCTGCTAATAACTTGTCATCACTTTGTCGTCGACGTTCCACTCTTCTGTCAGTAGCCATACCCTGGAGCTTCGGCTACGTTGCTTTTCAAACGATCCTGTTGACTCCTTTGCTGTTGCACCTCTCCAACCACTTCTATGCCTGCGACAGCAGCTCTCAAGTTGCACCATGTTGCCTTGGACTCGCACTGGCCTGTAGAAGTCCACCAGATTTCTAGATTCCTCTCAAAGTCGGTGCCTCGTTTTGAGTTTTCCAGAATATACCCTCGAATGACATCCTTGTTCCCTGACCTTTTCAACCAACTGGGAAGCGCTACACTGACAGACCTTTCAGCCGTGGAACCAGAGTCGCAGCCACTTCTGGGCTTTTTGGATATCATCCTAGAAACAGTGTCATCGCTTCGACGAATGCAACAGGACCCTCACCCATTCACCATGCCTATTTGGTCCACCCTAGTCCGAGCATTGTGCTATACATGCTTTAATGACGCCGAGATATAGTAAGTAGCGTCATATCTTGTGATATCCGCGCTTCTTATCCACTTCACGAAGTTACGACACGCCTTTTATTCTTCCTAGAAACTTTGTGGAATCTGTTTGTGATGGACACGCTCTGATGCTTGTTTCTTTTCTCTATGAGAATACGCTACTATCTACATCGCACTCAGACGCGGCTCCAGGGGAAAGCTTATCTCACCAAAGCAATGATCCTAAAGAGGATCCTTTAGAACCAGGCGTAGTTCTCGCAGACGAAGAAGGCTCAGATCGTGTCAGTGACAGTGATGCCTCTGAGGTTGAACCTGATACACGGACTTTTTCACCCGAATCGGACCATGCATTTGGGGGAAACATATTCGATGAGCCAGGCAGCGCTCCGTTTGGTGATCTCTCAGAGTCGGAAGAGTGGCCATGTCGCAACCTTTCGCCGTCTTCCAGTACTAGGTCCCTTGATATGTCGTTTCAGGCACACGTTCTTCCAGGTAAAGGACGTCGTACGGATGCGGTTCTTCCTGTTATCTGTATTGCAGATAGGGGGAACATTGTGGCTCTCGTTGCTAGTGTGGCCTACCAACGACGTGTTTGGGGGATTGAAGAACCTGTCGTGGGTGTAATTCTCACCCAGGATGGATTTTCGGCCCAGGTCATTCTGGGGTGGACAAATCCACCTGATGTGGATGGTGATTCAGAGTCTCCAGACGATGACATGTCTGATGACTTGGTGAGTTACTGGTTGACTCTCTGTTCATTGTCATGCTAATTATGTAGTAGCCAATGGTACATATTGCCTACTCTGATGTGCCTTGTGTGGCCAGTGGTGTCTTCAATCTGACCGATCCTATTTCTGCCCTTGCATTTGCGCAATTTATCATTGAGCTTCATGATCATTATGATAAGATTGTACTGGAATGTCGCAAACCCTGCATGCCTGCCAATACTCCGATTTCCTGGAGATCTGATCTTATTGATCCTTCACATCTTTCTGATTGGGAGAAAAGAGGAGAAGAAGTTGTTGCCACCTGGATTCGGAGTTTGAGAACAAGCAGTGTTGAGTGCGTGGATGCAATAGGCTGACTTTCAATATCATTTTCTGATTATCTGATAGTACTGACGACGACCCATCACCATATCCTGTTACACCCCCTCCGACACAGCAATTCCATCATGTACCAATGTTAGATCCAAATGAGTCCAGGAAGAAGCCTGTTCATGGGAGGCAGCTGTGTGTATATGTGATCTTTGCACTGACTACAAATGCCTGATCTGTCTTTTCTGGATAGACATAGTATTCCTACTGAAGCCATGATTCCGACTCAGAGCAAAAATGATAAGCATGGTTCCAGGAAAGGTTCAATGACCACATCTACGTGAGTTTGACCACTTCTAACAATGAGATCACTGTTAACTTCTTAGCGTAGAAGTTCAGCTCCGAAGTACGTGTATCCTCTACAGTTTTGCTGCGGCTGCCAACAGATCAATGATAGATCTAAGCTTTCTGGATTGAATGCCCCGTCGTTGTATGTCTTATCCTTTGAAACCACCAAAAGCTGACGAACGATATGTATGCAGAAACAACTCGTAATGAGTTTTCCTTGACTAATTTAGTACGTTCTAACAGTGTGCATAGAGTTCAGTCAGCTTCGATCTCGATTTATTCCTGCTCAAGGTCAGTCATCACTTCAATTCCCTTTTGATCTCTGACTTTATTTGCACTAGATTCGCTGGCAAAGTTGGAAATGGAATTGGGCTGACGATGCCACTCTCCATTACGACTTATAACTACGACAGATATATCTTCTCCGTGAGAGCCGCGATAATACCGGACATTGACAAATTCAAGAACCAACAACACGTTAATGAGTATACGAAACTATACGAATCTCTGACTTGTTTTGTGGACCCGGAATGGCAAAGTATCGTGCGTATAGATGACCGACCTGACTGTCTCAGACTATCAACCACTTCTTCAGGATCAGTTACCGGTAGTCGAAGGATCATATCTTGAGGCCGTCAATGATTGCTTCTGGGAGCAACTCATGACTGTCCGACAGAGATTGCCGGAGAGCAACGTCCAAAAAATAAACCCTTCGCATCAGACAGCCGTGTCTGAACGTCTATCACTATTCTTCTGGGTGACCCTTGGAGCGTTTTCACGTGGGCAGCGCAAGTCTGTCAACGAAGCAGAATCTCGTCTACAATGGGATACACTGCTGTTCCATGTTTTGAACAGCATCGATTCCGACGCTATTCACGTGAGACCACTGTAAGTTATATTTATTTTATACCTCACAACAGTCGACGTAAAGGTTTTATAGATTTGAGCGAACTATTTTGCTTTCTCGCAATCGCCTTGTCGATGAACTTCATTCCAAAAGCATCGAGGACATCCGAGCTAGTGCGATCGATCGAGCGAAGGACTATTATAATCTCTGTAAAGCTTCTCTTATCGCCAGTACCTTTTCAGGCAATCACACGGATCCGGACGTTATCGATATTCAAGAACACGCAGCTCTAAATGTCGCCCTCTATTTCTTACAGCAAACACCTCATCTTTTCCCAGAAACTGCGCGGGGACCCGAAGCCATTGTTCATCGCGCCAGCAGCGAACCACACACAGGAATATGTGATGCAGTCGTGGTTCTTACCGCTGATGAGCTCTCGTTGCCTAGTACGGACTGCAAGATACCTGAATTCATCACCGTACTGAAAGATGATGGTCCGGGTCTGTTTCCCAAGTCTCAGGAAGAGGAGGAACGTGATGGCCAGATTTTGCTACTTCCTTCCTCTCAGCGAGCGGCCATTCCGCCGCCCCGCTCAGACGAGGAGCAGCCTGTATCTTCCGAAGGATCTACAGATGAACCTGTCACCCTCAATACTTTCAAGGTCGAAAGGAAATCCTCTAACAATTCATTCTTAACTGCGTTCTCCGAGACTGGCTGCATGGTGGGAAGTGATGGGAAGAGAAGTACCGACATTCAGCAGCTGTACGAAAAGATCGAAAAGATCGGCAAGGCTGTTCCTGCAGAAATTTTTGGTAAAATTCTCTTTGCCATCCTTGTGGTTGAACATAAGAGGCCCCTTGACGATGCAGCGAAGCCGTTGAATCAGGCCAGGGCTTATGTAGACGCTGCCGTCAGGTTGCTTCAAGCTCATGGTATAACCGGACTGCCCGTGTTTGCACTCGCCACAAACGGCAATGACGGTGTGGTGTTAATGGCGTGGCACAGCGAAACCGCTGAGGTATGTTTATTTTCCGATTCGAGATTTGCCATCTAATCGCTTTGTACAGAAAGTCTACCTTGTTGACCGATCAGTACAGCGATTTGATATATCGTCGCCCATAGAAGTGTTCCACTTCGCAACATTCCTCCTTCGCCTCAGAGATTATTATGTTGATCACTTTAAGGAAAACCCAGCCCAAATCAAAGCAGCAAACAAGGCAGCACAAGAGATGGCAACGATGGCGGAGGAGAAGCTGCGAGCGGCTAAGGCACAGGCAAAGGAGGATGGCCTGGACCCAGATAAAGTTGAAGTTCACATAGATTGGGGATGGTGGAAGTCTGCTCAGACGCCGCGACCTCCACCTCCCAAAGCGACAGAAAATGCAGGGTCGAAATCGAAGTTGGAGAAAGTGGCAGAGGGGCTAGAAAATTTACATTTGTCATCTTAGGTATACGTCATGTTCAGGTGCGAAATTCATGGTGTCAGATTTCCCCTTAACAATACGTGTATATACAATACCAGTATTACATGCTATGGAGGGGAGGTAGGCGCATGCCTAGAAGAACAAAGACCATTACCCTGGCCAAGAGAGCGATCGAACGATGTCTATGGTTCGAACGAAACATAAGACTGAGTAAATGCTTTTTGTATCTTTCCGCTTGCATTTCAAGATGGCCGGGATTACTAGACTCGAAAACCCGGTGTGTCGGCCGCTGAGGGCTGGGATTCCGAGTGTCCATCGGGTTAGGTTTACCGAGTCTTGCCAATACAACTCTTCGCGCCGGTGCTAATTTATGTTTGCATAATAATATTTTCTGGATGGTAAAAGAGACGCAAGTTTCTTTAGTCGGTACCTTCTAAACTTCGCCGCGCTTTGTCAAGCAGAGCTGCGCTTGGAGTAAGGGTTTAGAAGGGCCTGAGGTGGTGATCAACTGCTCGAGATATTGGAAATCTCAAAATGGGAAGGGGTGGGTTGCAAGGTAACAATATGCCTCAGCTGCCACCCGCTCTGGAAGAAAGCATTGTTTCCAGGAGTGGCGAGTTTGCGCAATTGATACCCCGTCCAGATTTGTGGTAAAGCGGAGCACAACCTCACTTAGAGTAGGTCGTAAAGACGGTCCTTTTTGAATCATATCAACAAGAGGGACAAGGAACTGCAGTGGTGGGTGCTTGTGCTAATTTAAAAAAGCAATGAACACCAACAACCAATAAATGTTTACCGACCACGCAGAAGTATTCCTCCAACATGTTTCCCAAAGCAAAATATACCTGTGGGAAACGGATTGCAACGGTCACCCTTTTTTGACCCCTTGTATTCCGGAACATAACGATTGCCGCAGTTCGAGACGGGCTCCTATGGTATCTCTGGAGGTACATAACGACGGGCCACTCCAAAATCAATTATAAAATAGCAGGACCAGCACTCTGTGCGAGTGATGTGTTTCGCCGATCCGGTATAAGTCGCATTCATCCACGGCGTGGCAGGATGAAACCCCTTCGGATAGAGTTCGCTGGCATCGAGCATGATGTTCAAAATGGTCACATCCCTATCAATTTGTCTTAGCGCAGAAATGACCACCCGGAAAAACTGATTCCATCGGTGAGCAACGAAATGGCGATGCAGAAATTCAACACCCTGTATACATATTCATTGAAAAAACAGTAAATTATAGTGGATCAAGGTGAACCATACATCCAGAACTTGTCGAAAGCACTCTATGAGTTCCCCAACGGTGTCGAAACTGGGCGAATAAAACTGGCGCAGCCGAGGCATGACGAGGACCTCGAAGTCCGGGTCATATGGGGACTGTAATACGTCGTAGATCGGTACACAGTAAATATTCAGATCCTCTGAAAGCGGAGGTGAAGAAAGAACGACAGATAACTCGACTTCTAACCGAAATTCAGACTTGGGAGACTTGTCTTAGCATCGCCTGCCTCCCGTCTCGGATTCGCGTTGCGTCTATAACATAAGGTGATTAGTATTCAGTGAGTATGAGTCAAATGAAAGCCAGCGAATTGAATCACTGACAGAATGAAGCGCCCTTTCCCCGCTCTGAAACATCTCGTAGATGGCTTCCAGCCGGGATCAAACTTGGGACGAAGTCGGAAACGGCTGGTGTTGCCTCCACATTTTTTGCATTTCATGAACCCAAGATTTGGGGGGGGGGGGCAGGTCTTTCCTAGACATGATAGTCGAGGTAAGTTCCGACGCAACGAAGCTCCAATCGTGCTTTCATATGGTGAGCAATCCGTCTCGTTTCTTTCGGTTTTCCTCTTACCAGTGTCTGAAATGTTCACCAGTGAAAAATTCTTAAATACTATTATTACTGTGCGGGACGCAGGGACGTAGACAATCGCGGTTACACGTGTAGAAGAACCATTACCCGTCAAACAGGCCAAGAGAGCGAACGAACCGTAGAGATCCACGAGGCATCGGCATTAGGGTACTAGTGCAGTAAGCGATATGTTAAATGAGACACTGGCATGGATGGAAGGAAACATCGCACCTGCCAGACCATCGCGCCACCATCTATGACGGAGCATAATGAACAATTCATCCAAGTTTCGACACAAGATTGATTTTTACACGTACCCCAACCATCGTTCTTAGCGGTTTCCAAGCAAGTGGCCAACGTCGAGGTGTCCATATAGCCATTGGTCGCGTCGCTCGATGTGGCGGGCTTTCCAATAACCAGCTTCGAAAGATCGACACTATTGTTGGCGATCTGGAATAACGCGGTCTCTGGCCATGTACTCGACGAAGCGGTGAGCAAGCCATCACAGTCGGTGTACTCCGTAGCTCCTTCTGTGATAAATTTAGATCCCCTGTGAGGCCAATTGTAATCGGCCCCTTACGGTTGTAGAACTAAAACGGCATGAATGAATATCGCGGCAAAGAAGAAGGCTTTAAACCGAACCTGTATATTGTACCAATCAATCAGATCGCCTACTTCCTGGTGCACCTTGGTATACGCGCCGCCCACATAACTATTCGGCGTGAACCTAAGAAGGAGTGTTATAACTGAGTATATGGTTGACGCTCGGAATGAAATGGTAACCCACCACGGAGCGACGGCTTGGCGGAACGATATTATCATGGGAAATCACCGAGCAAGCACATTACATGACTCACGAGCGTGAGTGACGATATACTGATCCTGAGGCAAGTATGCACGAAGCTCAGAAGTAAAGCTGATCAACCATTCCTGTCCTCAAACGACGAATAAACCGTCAACGTTCAAAAAAATCAGACCAACCTACCTCAGCCGTACCAGCGTTCATAGCAGCCGTGTCCTGTATCGTTGTTATCGCGCAGACAATCCTCCAGAAAAAAATCATATACGCACCTCGTAGTCGACATCAATGCCATCCAGGCCGTATTCGATAACCCATGCAGCCATTGTCGCAGCCGTCGTATTAGGATTGACTCCTGACGTCGTAGGAATATCCGTAGAGCCGAATGCAGACACGAGAAGTTTGATTCCGGCTGCAGCATACTCGGACTTGATAGCCGTTCTCTCGTCCGCTGTCAACGTAGTCCATTCGTAGGCCTAAAAAATCTGAATAATCAAAAGAGACGGTTTATGATAGCGAGCTACCTTGTCCCATGCCCCCTCCGTGAGAAGGAACGAGAGGATGCTTCAACAGAGCTTGTCAGCTATGTGCGGAACAAAAGTCTTGTTCGAACTTACAAGACATTGTAGCCCTATCATTCTGTCAGTGGCGAAGGACGTGTAGTATTCCAGGAGTAGGTGCATACCTCAACAGCGTCCGCTGTGGGAGGACCAGTCACTCCCGACTCGTACTTGTCGCCATACACGACCCAGTGAGGGGCACTTTGAGTAGAATTCGCGCTGTCAAGGCCCAAAACGATCTGAGCATCTTGAAGGTTGGCCAACGCGGAAGCAGAAAAGCAAATCGCAGAGAGCACAAGAGGGTACAGCAACATCTTGGACGTAAGTTATGAAGTAGGGTTTCCTAGGTCTTTATAGAGGGGTGGATAATAAGACCAATTTCGGACAACAGCACAGAGCGAGAACGTGAATGACACCCAGAGTGTCCATGCCCAAGGTACCTGGGAATGGAACAATTGCGTCGCCACATGTACTAGAGCTGCGGATGGCAACGTCTTGCGCTGCGTCGAAGTTAAAGCTTGAGAGGTATCTTGAAGAGTCGAAAAAGAAAGGCCACGGGCGCCTACGCACCACGATCCAACATTCTATTTTAGGGTGGCTAGATCAGCCTTGTCCTGATGTTCGTATGAACAGTGAAACGGTAGTAAATTCAGTATACATACTGATACAGATGAGAAACGAAGCACACGATAAGAAACAACCATTAGACATCTCCTGACCGAAAGAAATGGGTCAGAGCGCACTCGACAATCACACTATACTACCGGCCTTTCTTTCCAACGTTCAGGCTTTTTTGCAGCCCTTCCGACCAATACTTCGGCATTGGTTGTTGATGATAAGGTTTCGCGTGAGAAGCATACGAAGAACCACTCACCTCGACGTTTATCTCTGAACCCCCAGTTTACCGGAATGATAACAAGTTCTAGCTTAATCACTATAACCGGCATAGATCCCACCGCTAGTGCCAAGGTCAAGAGGACCAGTACTATAGACCCCAGAAGTCTGATTACCATCTTGTCCAGCACCATATCCCATATGTCGTGCTGGCAGTATCTCCTCTCTCGGAATCTAAATCCTGCCCCGTTGTGCTAGAGCGTCCGTCGTATTGAGTCCTCGCTGATTGTCTTCGCTTTAAGTATCAAAAGTTGAAGGGCCAACATCTGCATGGAGCACATTCCGGCTAACGGTGGCGTCGATTCGACCTTGTTGATCGTCATGAAGAACTCGCAGAAGAACCGCGCCGAAGGGGTAAAAATCTGAGCGTCCGAGGAAGTGTATACCACCAAATCGACACCTGCGTGTGGAGAAGTGTCCTTGCTAGAGCCTGAATCCTGACTAGTCGCCCCACGACCTCGCTGATTACCGTCACCCGAAGACTGATCCTTGCCAGGGGAGGATTGATCACCGAAAGAGGACGAGCCATTATTGTCCATATCTGCCCTCGACTGTATGGTGGTGATATGTTGGTGTGATCACGATGAACGTGGTGCTTCCGCTTCTAGGACAGCCACTCTCATAGGTACTGTTGTTGGATTAATATAGCGAGAGGGGAGTACGCCGACAGGTGAAAGCAGCACCCGGAGGTTCAGAATTCGTTCTTGCCCCTTCATTGATACCCGTTGTTGGAACAAGAGGCGGTATTATCACCAGTGACGCGCGTCTGTATCGACGAGGATCAGTTTGGTTGGAAGAGATCGATGAAAACAGGGTTGCTCATCCCGTTGTTATTCCGGAATTTATAGGTGTCTCGACTATGACGGTGACATGAACGTAAAGTTTTTCTTCATGACGCACTAGTAGATGGTGGGAAGGAGCAGAATTACACGTGGTCGGATTTGTCTTGGTCGTTCAACAACCCAATAGGCCGCGGAATCGTGAGGAGTCAATACTCATTGTAGGGTCACAACATTGGAGGGAAATCTAACCCACATAAACGACCTACGTTGCGCCACAAGCACGGCACGAGTAATACTGCGTCCATCCAGGACCATTGCAACACGTTATTCTAAATATGTAGTGCGTACAGACAAGCGAATACCACGAAGAGAAATGCGATGACCAATAACACGAGTGAGTAATATCCGGGGTATCAAAGTGGGATCATAGCCCATAATGCAACTGTGTCGATACGGGAACAAAAAAAAAAAGATAAATCACCAAGGAAAATTCGCCGCAAACTGACAAGCCAGGATCTTCCGCGAGCAAACAGTAGGAAGTATCCTCTCCACGTCCTTCGCCGCAGAGAGGGAGTATTCCCTCGGGAGCTTCCACCTCCCTCTGACATCATCGTACGCGTCCAGCTTGACGTGGACCTTCGTCAGAGAGCGCATCTCCCCGAGAACGGCGTCGAGCGCGGCCCACTCGGCTGTATATGCGGTCCAATCAGAGTTGTAGAAGATCTCAAAGGTGACTTCCTCCACGCGGTGCTTGGCGAGGTCCTGGAATGATTCTATCAGCCAGCGAAGCCACAGTGTGGGCTCGGTGTGCTGGTCTAAGCGGATCCACCATAGCTTTATCTGGATGGAGAGGAGCCGTTTGATGTCAATGAGGTTGGACAGCGGTTCTGCGGATATGTCGCTTTAGCAAGCAGGAGAGGGGGGTATTCAATGATTCGATACTTACCTCCTAGACACACGTTCAAAACGAGGTGCCGGAGTGAATTACTGTTCAACTTGAGAATCTCCTTCGTCGCCTCAATACGCTCTGACAAGTGTCCAGAGCCAGCAGTGAGAACGGACAGACGGTGGAGATGACTGAGATCCATAGAGGGCTGGAGCTGCAGCAGACGGTGCATGAGTGGGAGGTACGACTGTTCGTACAGACTCAGCGCAAGCGAATCGAGCTGCAGATTGAGCCCGCAGGGCAAAGTGAGCGCCGCTGTGTCGGCCTGGACGAACTCTTCGAGGTCATCACAGGACATGGCGGAGAGGGAGAGCCGCTTGAGATGCTCGCATGCACCCAGGAGAGCAAGGAAATCAGCAGACCGGAGGAATAGACCCTCCCGAAGTTCGAGGTTAGTTATTCGCGGGGAACGGAAAGTAGTGATGAGGGCATCCCTCATGCATTGGGAGAGCTCGTCCCAGTAGTAGCCCCCGAGATCGAGGGATATACATTCCAAGTTGACGAGCCTTTGGAGGGTGCTGGCGAGGAGCTGTTCTTGCGCTGCGTCAAGAATAGGCTCGACTTGGAGTGTCCTGACAAACGACGTTAAATGAGGGCGCATGGATATGAGATCGTGGAATCTGCTGATGTCGCACGAAGTCTTGTGCAATTTGCCGGGGTAGTAGCATTGTTGCGAATGGTTGCGGAAGTGGACGCGGGAGAAAATGTGCCGCTGGGAAGAATAAGTCCATGGACGAGCTACGAGGGAGCAGGCACGCAATGCAGCCTGGTCGTCCTGGTTCTCGTCGATAATAGCATCTATGAGCTCCTGTGGAAGCGTATTGATTCCGACGCACTGCATGATCGAGACTGTAAAATGCAAAATCAGAAATTCAGTGGGGTCAACTGATGCAAAATGACGCACAGATCTTCGGCCCGGATATCCGAATCAGGGAGATCGTGTTGGGGTGGGGGTGATGCTAGTTCGCGTATGGGGGTGGGTGCGAGGAAGGTTGGGGAACGTCGCAGTGATGGGAGCAATGTTGGGGGAGAGAAGAGAAGGGTAAAGAACCGTGAGCCAGGATGAAATTTTATCTTCCGTGCCACGCATTATTTGTACCTTGGATTCACAGCGTGTTTTTCCCCGTCTTCTGCCGAGGGTCGGTCCGGCTCGGCCTAGATCGCGATCGTGCACCCTTGTTGTACTGCCACCCTTGCCTTGCACCCTTCATCGAGCCTATCACGCTGATAACCAACTGGCCAGAGTCCAAAAATGCAAGTCCAGAGGGGTGGCCGATGATTATCGATAGAAGCTTGCACGTTCGCCCTGACCCAAGTCGTTGCCTTTGACGTTACCCTGGTAAATCAGAATACAGTCGTATGATGTGCCATCCCGCTGTCCCTGGGGCGTGCAATGAACATTAAACGTTAATGCTTCTTGCGGGACAGGATCACCAAAGACGACAATCACAGGAGGGTCATGAGTTCAACCCGGAACTCCTCTGAAGGACAACAGAGACCGAGCCGGAACTGAGACCGTAGTTTCTCGCAGTTCGCAGTTTTCCATGGAGAGAGCCTGGGGTAAGCATGGGGTAATTGTTTGTGATGGTAACAGAATCGAAGAAGAAACGTTGCACGTGAACAAGTCCTGTGCTGCTTGCTTCGTTTCCAGAATCAAGGCTGTTCATTCAAATGACCTCGCATTCGTGGGCCTTTGCCTGGCCAAATGGTTAACTATCTCCCGCATGCTTACCACGCAAGCAAATGTTGAATCAACTTTTTTTTTCCCATTCCGCCCGGCTACACGTTCGTGGCGATGGCACGCTACCCTGTTACCTCCAGACCGTAGGCTATAACTCATCCAAGGATCTCGACAACCAAACAACATTTCGGTTACCGTCTGGTTCCTTGACCTCGCATCTCTCAATCAATCCTAGCCTTCTATACAGCCCCCGGCTCTCATTGTCACTGTAAACCTCATTGGCGACGAACTTCTCTGTCACAGCATCGGCATCGTGGCCCCTCGCCCACTCAATGCATCTGTCAAACATCTTCTTTGCCAGACCCCGTCGCCTATGCTCCGGATGAACCCACAACGACACGAACAGGTATCCACTTCCTTTCCGCCCCTCGTACACCTCCTCCGGTACCGGATAGTTCAACTTGGCAAGGATTTTGGGCGAAGCAACGCCTGACATAGCGATCCATTCCCCTGTGGCCTTGTGTGAGACGATGACGGCGACCTGGTCATGGGAGTCGATTCGTTGGATGTGCTTCTCCCGAGAGATACTCTTGGCGTACTCGTATGTGGTTCGAAAGGAAGATGGGTCCACCTGCAGTGCGAGTAAGCGGATGGCGATCCACTGGTCGATTTCACTCTCTGACGGTGGGACGTTCAGGGTGAAGGTTTCGTACATGTCATCTGCCATGGTAGGGTAGTATTGCTTGTTTCATCCCTCAGGATTAAATATAACATGCTTATCATGCTGGTACATCTGTATCACGTAAGAATGCTCGCCCGATCACCAGTATTGAAGCCCTACGTGCTTGCATCATTGGGCCGCTGTTGGTGACGAGTGTACCGACGCACCTATGACGCGATCCAACCATCGTACACAGATCCCCCGCCCTCGCGCACGGGCTCTCCAACGAGTATAAAACAATCTTTATTCCATCCCCGCCCAATACCTCTTCCTGGTTCCACGAACGTGTGTACTGCGATGATGCATCAGGCGGTGGGCAGGATTAAAGTCGCGTTGTCTCTCACAACCATATCTCCATCTCCCGCTGCAGATTCTTGGCTTGGTTGCTATATCGGGCCCGATACATGTCGAGCCAATGAGCATGCGCGACATAGCCATTTTTCATCGGCTGCAAGCACCGAAACCACACAAGAGCTAACCACAGAACCGTCCCGGCACGCCGAGAATTATTGTATCGTCAAGTGCCGTCGCACATTTCTCTGACAGCAATAGCGAACCCTCGAGCTCCGCTGTCTCATCGGAGGGAATAATTCATGATGAGCCTTACTCGCAAAGAGCAAGCACGAAAAGGAACGCGCGATCAATCCAAAGTCAGCAGGAGGCCGGGTAAGATATAATCAGTAACGCCTTTCCAGTGAAGCGATTTTATTTAGAACCGGGTTGAAATATTTTCTTACATAATCCGAATAGTGAAACTTTATCATCACGTGATCGACGAAAACTCGTTAAACGCCCACACCACCAGCAGGACCGAAAAATCTTTCGAAATGGCGAGTTCTGCTCTTTTTTTTTTTTTTTTCCTATTATTCCATCTAATGAAAATATTGATAGAGGCCTATCCTATTACAAGGTCACCCAACTCCTCAAACGGTCCCCAAAAAAAAAATTAACCCAAAATTACAGGCCACGAACGGTCCTTGACTCAAATCAAGTTCAACACGGAAGGCGACCTGTTATTCACTTGCTCAAAAGACAACGTCATCAACGTCTGGTTCTCTCACAATGGTGAACGACTCGGGACGTACGAAGGGAACAACGGGACGGTGTGGACTGTCGATGTCGATTGTGCGTGAAACCAACCGTGAACGGTTTCCCCTCCTCCGGCCGCAAACAAACTGCTGACTGGCTGACCGTCCTTCAGCAGAATCACGATTCATGGTATCTGGCGCTGCGGATAATACTCTGCGGCTGTGGGACGTCGCTACGGGAAAGTGCCTCTACACGTGGGAGTTCCCGACGGCTGTGAAGCGGGTGGCGTTCAAGGAGGACGATTCGCAGATCGTGTGCATCACTGAGCAGCGGATGGGGCACCAGTGCGCTATCCGGGTGTTTGACATCGACCGGGAGGGGGATGGGACGAAACGTGTGTTCTCTCTCTCTCTCTCTCTCTTTTTTTTTTTTTTTTCCCTCCCTGGCCGTTTGCTGAGCTGCGTTCCACGGTAGAATCGAAGGATCCCCGGTATATATTCAACCCCGTCGGATCGAAAGCGACGGTGTGCGCGTTCACGCTGGTGCCTAATGTCATTATTACCGGGCACGAGTCCGGGAAGGTCGCGCTGTTCAATGTGGAGACGGGCGAGGAGATCGAGAACAACGAGCGGGCGCATGGCGAGGTCGTCACGGACTTGCAGCTGAGCAGGGACCGGACGTATTGTATCACGAGCAGCAAAGACAAGTCTGCGCGGGTGGGTTTGCATTTTTTTTTTTGTTAATGCGCCTGTCTCGATTGATTGGGCGGCCTGCCTCACTAGATACACGACCCGAAAACTCTAATGGTTATCAAAACGTTCACGACGGAGACGCCGCTGAACAGTGCCGCTCTTGCGCCTAACAAACCATACGTTGCGTTGACATTGGTCGCTCCTTCTCTCTCGTACGTGCTTGCTGATCCCCATATCTCCAGGTCCTCCTCGGGGGTGGCCAGGAAGCCATGAGTGTCACCACCACCTCCTTGCGTCAGGGTAAATTCGAAACACGGTTTTGGCATAAAGTATTCGAAGAAGAGGTCGGCCGAGTAAAAGGGCATTTCGGGCCCATCAATACGTACGTTTTTTTTTTTTTCCTTTTTATTGTTTTTCTCCCCTTGACAATTTACCGGTACCGCGCAGCATCGCCATACACCCCGCTGGAACGGGATACGCCTCTGGTGGAGAGGACGGGTTCGTGCGGGTGCACCACTTTGACGAGTCGTATTTCAAGGCGGAGCCCTACGGGCCTATGCAGATCGAGGATTGATCACCCTCGCGGTTTGGAACTTTGGGCAATTGTACCATGTACAACTTGAGCAACTTCCCCCCCCCGTTCCTATCTAGTTAGTAACTGCTGCACTGCATTACAACCTTATCCCGCGTCGTAAGATGAAAGGGTATGAATATTAGATCTCTCTCCCTGAGAAATAACTAGGTGGCTGGTAAACATAAGGTGCAGTGGTGTGTGGTTATAACAGCGTCCATATCTTTCGCAGTGCGATATCCAATTGTCTATATCTGTGCCGTGAGTATGAGGGGGTAAGGGAGGGGCGGAGTGAGTGGTCATAAAGATACGTAAAGGTCGAGAGCTTTCTCTGGCCAGCCAACGAAAGGACAAGGGGTTGTCATAGTGAAAAAGAGGAAACGCCGAGGACTGTCAGTAGGAGTAACCATAATTTTGGCCGTGTTCTCCATCCGGCACTTCTATTATAATAGATGAGAACCTGATGTCAAGATAGAGATATAGATGGACTCACTCCTCTGGCTGTTCTAATATTGACACGTCCAGAACAGCCACAAGGCCATCAACAGCATTGGTTACGCCAGGAATATACACCGACAAATTATGGTTGATGCCAATGCTGGTGTTCTCTAGCAGTCCCGAGACGTACGAGATGTCTGTCTTGTAGGTATAGCCACCATATGACGTGTTTCCAGAGTAGGTAGACGAATTCGTGAGGTTCAGCGTTGGTATTACGGTCCCGCTAATGTTGCCGACGATGTAGTCGCTGTAAATAGATAACCCAAATTTAGGCGGTCGGCCGGAGAAACTAAATTCGAAGCGGAGAGACCACGCACCGAGCCAGGTTGTAGCCGTTCACAACAATGTCGTGGTCTTGGGCTATTGGCATTTCGTAGGATACTGCCATAAAGATAGCCCCGCTTTTGGGGAGTTGTCAGAGAGAGAGAGATCGCGCGACAGCATTTTCACGCACGTATTCGCATCCTTACCATTCTGTACCCAGTACCGAAAGTGGTTTCCACCCTTTAAATCCCTTTGTCACTTGTCATTATTCTCGCATTCGGATTTCGACGCACTTTGATCGTCTCCGTGCAAGCACCCAATGAAGGGTCACCATAATTATACCGAATCACAGCCGTCTCGTTTACTGCGGAAGCCCACAGACTGAGTACCCAAAAGAATAACTTGAAAGAGTAGAGCCCAACGCACGATAACCATTCCCATCACCCAAATTCACCTGTTGGTCGGTTCCCGAATGCTGCCCTAGACATTCGCTGGAAAAGGATAATGATCTACAGATTGCGGCTTTAGGATCAGCTGGGAGAACGCGAAACAACGTAAACGCACAAGTAATAATTTCTGAGACCCCCGTCTGTCTCCTGGTCGACTAGCACGGCCGAGTTCGAGTTGCCTGATATTATCGTGTTGACGGGCTCTCCCTGGCCTGCTGGGTATGTTGTCCCTAGGACTTTCTAACCCGCCCCCCCACCCCCACGTGAGCACAGAGACAAAAAAAGACGCGCGCGGTGGCATCCCTCACCGTCAACATCGATCCTCCGTTGTCATTGGGATTCGAATATCCCGCAGCCGGGACACTTCTTGATGAACGTCGCCAAAGTCGAGCAAGGGTATCACGGACGTCCAGTGCGAATGTAAGAGATGGGAGACATAGGAGGAGAAATACAAGCAGGGCATTGGAGGGCCGGGCCATGGAGTAAGGTGGAGAGAGGGGAAACACAGGAAAGGAGAAAAGGCCTGCGTGAGAGCACCTCAAATCGAATTTACGTAACAATACTTTTTTGTTGCTGGCGAAAGCTGTGCTCTTCATTTCTCGAATTGTGCCTCTTGTTCTCAGTATGTGTTCCTCGCGACTGCGAGGACAAGTAGGTATCCCTCTGAGGTGTATTATTTAATAAATTCTGCCGCGTGTTGGGACTGTGTACTTGTACAGATACCTTGGCCGCAGTGAACCTGGCCCTGGTGTATTTTTGGCAACAAAGTTTAGGCCCTTGAGAAAATAATCGAAGACACAGAGAAGTTCTATTCGTGAAATGTAACATAGCAAAATTTGTCGGCATTATTGGCAAACCTGACAGGTAACTTGTAGTGTTCGAAATTTCACCTTTATTCCTATTGTTTCTGCCCTTGCCTTTTCAACGTTTCTCCGGCACGACGCAGTCACCTGCCCCCTGGGTGATACTGTAGTACCGGCGCAGACGTGTCTACTCTTGGTACTTGGTCGTGAGTTTTTCTAAACGTATGAACTTGAGCGGATCCCAGATTTATTCATCTCTGCCTTTGAAGCTGTCGTCGTGTTGATGAGAGGCCGGTGAGCGTCATCATCGCTGTGAAACTGATAATCATGCTTTTCTTGCAGGCCCCACGGTCGGAGTAATAGGCCAAATATTGAAGTCACTGGGATTCCAACCTCTTTCAGGGCCTATATTTTTCCAGTGAGAAAATACGACAGTAAATCGATGGATAGCACTGGCACGTAGTGATGATGCATGATGGGCGGCAGGAGCCATGGATCGTGACGTGGACGTCTGACCCCGTGCTTCGCGGCGACTTTGCTATATCACAGTCAAAGACTTGCTGATTTCCTTAGTTCATTTGCCGTTCCCGGATCTACATCCTCCTGCCAGCTGCATACTGATTTTGACGTCACATTGAGAAAGCTTCACGAACCTCTCTAAGATACGTATCGGTGAGGAAGCGCACCTGCGCTAGTAGCCTGCCAAGTTTCAAAGACAATTTCGTCAGTCCTTGAAAATTCACGATGAACTGGCGGCGGTGTAACCCTAACCCTGTGCCTGGCAAGTATCACCGCATTTGTCCCAAAGCCAAGCGATCCCTGACGATCCGTGCTCTGCCGTGATCTGAAGGAAACAGCTCGATGAGTGTCACTTCAGGAGATCACCTCAGTGCAGTGTGTAGCACTGGAGCGGCGATTCACAGTACGAGCCTCGGTAATCGACCGCATCGTGCGAATGATATCTGCTGGCAAACATATTTCTTCAATGTGTGAAACAATTCCGAGGTGAGAATAACCCGTCGTGACCTCGGAGTACAATAGAAATTCAAGAAAGTCATTCCAGCTTGTTCTGATGACTCAAATAACGCACCCCTCTGAACATAACATAGAGCATTGGATTTGGGTGGCATCAGGGACAGCTTCGATACCCTCCATGTGTCGGTGGGCGGTGGGAAAGTTGCTACGTCGACCGTGTCGAATCGAAAAAGTTTGTATCTGTCCACTAAGCCATCCCCGCGTCTTTATGCGCTCCTGTTATCCTGAAAAGTTCCCAACTCGCAAGAATGTGGACAATGAAAGGTCCTGATATGTTCTGAGTGGAAGGTTTGACGAGAGTCGTCTTGCAGCGTCGAGCGGCAGAAATATGTAAAAGCACGAGTCAAGCTTCACGCCCTTGAAGGTATCCAATTCGTGAGGGAATAGAGAGAACAATACTGAAATCTAGCCGATTACATGAGTGTTTCTTCCGTATTTTCTAGGACTGATTGTATCTCCTTATCCGTAACAGGCCTGGGGAATGACTTTCGGGGCTCCCTGGACAGTACTGGCGTGAATCTAGAATAGAAAGTCTATAGAGAAATGCACGAACATTCGCATGGCCCATACATCCTCACTACTCTTGTCCAACCTTCTCCTTGCCCACCACTCGGCCCGCCTATTAATCCACGCTTCGTATCGTTCGTCACTCTCCATCCATTTCATACTGAGGCAGAACTTGAAGTCGTCGTGCTTATATGCACACCGTGAGGATTCGCCTTGTCGGTACCATGATTTCACCTGCGAACGAATGCCTGCTTTGCTTCAGCTTGGTTCGTGAAGAGGGCGTCAATGCAGGACTGTACCATGACAGCCCATTGCGAGCTCCATCAGCCTGAAACAGGAGGGGATATCATCTGGAGTTGGATGTACGAGACGAAGATAGGTAGCCTCTTGCTTAACAGCAGTCGCAAAGTCGACACCAGTCTGTGACATACGGGAGAAAAGAGATTCAGAAGGGCCGGCGGCCGAGTTAATAACCTTAACCTCGTGCATGCCCACTCCCTTCAACGCTGATCGATATCCCTTTGGTGATCCCTGGCGATCCTTATTCCCTCGTTTCTCTGTTCCGTAATGGAGAGAGATCCATGAACGTCAATTTAAAAAATCAGTGCACGATATCATATGCTACAACCCCAAAATCCAGGAATTTCCGTGCCGGGAATTGCGTGAACACCGGTGAATTACCGTAATACCACAGAGTGAAAAGGAATCCGATCACGTGGCTGAGATATTCGGTTACAGGCCCGAATCGTAAAGTGGAACTTGCTCCATTGCCACTGAACGGCACGACGACCGTCGTCTTCCTCTCTCAACGACGCTCCACCACGAAGGATTATACAACTGACTCTGATATGTCTTCCCTGAATTTCATTGTCTCGCGCGCTGCAGAATGGCCCACTGAGATACTGCATTTGGCGTGCTTACTTGACTCTCCAACCCCATCACGACTTGCCAACGGCCCATACCTAGCTGTCTCTTCTCGGGCGTCTCCATTACTCGAGGAGCTCGAAAGTATCCTAGAATGTTCACCAGAATATCTCACAGATTCCTCCTCGGAAGTATTAGATATTTTGGATCTACTGCTTTCGACTGTTGCCGCGCTCAAAGCTTTGCCGGCAGTTCGAAGGATGATGCTAGGCAGTCAACGATACCATTCTGGTCCCTTCTTATACGTTCGCTCTCGTTTGTGTGCTATGATAAATCATATATAATGTACGTGCATTTGAATGGAATCAACTGGTCTATTTTCCAACAAATTGTTTGTAGGCAAGATGTTGCGTTCGTTCGACCACGATTATCACATCATTTGAAGAGGATGGAGGATGGACATGCTTCATTGCTGATATCTCATATCGTTGAAGATATTCGACGGCCAAGGCCAGTCATAGAGGGTGACGCTTTGGGGCACCTGTCTATCATGAGAGCGGAACGCTCAAACGAACCATCGCAGGAAAGATACGACTCTGAAACTTCCTACGACGACGAATCATCCTCTGATAGTGACACCAGCTATGAACGCATGGAGGCTTCAACGGATCCGACGTCTGCCCAGTCATCTTTCGTTCCCCTTGATGCCCACATCCTTGCCCACTGGCGACATCCGAACTCTGTTGTTCTTCCGTACCTTTGTGTCACGGATGAAGAAGACATTTTCACCCTAATGAGCGGTATTCTTTATCAACGTTCTACTTGGGGAATTGCTGAGCCTGTTATTGGAATTATCCTGTCAAACAAAGGGTCCGTAGGCCGGGTGGTCTTCGGTTGGCTTGACAAAATATGCGCCGACCCTGGTGTTCTAGTGTGTCAGCTTCTTCTGACTCATTACCCCCACTGACTGAATTTGAATAGCCCACAGTTCGTTTTGCGCAAGCAGATGAGACGCGTATAGACCCCTCATTAGGAGTGTACGACCTCACTGACGCTGTCAGTGCTCTCAAATTTGCACAATTCATCATCGGCCTTCGCGCGCATGTCGAGGGAATCGTTGCCCAATGCGGAACTCCGACGTTCAAACGACTTCCGTGGAGATCAGATACCATCGATGATGACGATTCCGGTACCGAAGAAGAACAATGGGAACAAAGGATTGTTCATTGGCTAAATACGGTGGAAAAATGGTGGGAGTCACTTCATTTGGCCTTAACGTTGTCCCTCATCTATTTAACAGTGACACCGACCACACAGCACCTTCCGATCCTTCATCAACTCACTGCTGTTCATTCAACATGGCCGACTCCGGAAAGTGGATTACGCGGGCCTCCTCGAAGGCTAGATCTGCACGCCATCCGAGGCGCTCGATGTCTGCAGACAGCAAACGCGAACCTCCTCCAGCAGATCTTACACCATTTATGCCCGATATCGATCTCACGTATCCTCGTGAGCCTTCCCTTGGAGCTACGGGTTCGAAGACCCCGTCAGATAGAGCGTCAGCTCCGGCTGAAGAACGTGGACGACAAAAGTGAATCTAGACTGCTCATGCTTCTCTCGATTTCCTTCTAACTCTTGTTCAGAACAACGACGGATGGTGGTTCTTCTAATAAGGGAAAGACCGGTAAGCGTTCGAAGAGCGCAGATGCCTTGTCTTGTTCAGCGTAGGCCTTCTATTTTTGGCCACTTTAAACTACCCATTCTGATATCCTGTTTTCACCAGGTTGGGTGCGAAGTCCTTCACTGGCATATCCCCTGCCGCAAAGCTTTCTTTCTCAAGCTATGCACACGACCGCAAAATCATCAGTTTGACCAATGTACACCTCAACACAGACTCTAACCTCGGACCTACCGTTTCGAAGGACGTTGACGCTTCGGAAATCAATGAGATGCTCGGATTTTATGATAAAATGATACAATATACGAAGCCACCTATCGCTGAGGTAAGTGTATTTGGTGGCTACCTATACTTCGTATCACTTAACCATAGTAGCATGGACTGCCTGTCGTTGATAAACGGGTTCAGAATGTGCGGGAGCATTTCCTCTTACAAGCAAGGAAATGTCCCGATGGCGAGAATACTCTGGAGCTCCCGCAAAGATTCTGGGAAATCATCTCCGGTTGCTTTTCGTCTATCTTGTGGGCATCTGCTGGCGGATACTCAAAAGAGAAGGGCGGTAAATCTCACAATGAAGCTGAGGCCCGCCATGAGTGGGACATCCTTCTCAATCTTGGCTTTGTGGACTCGCATGAGTTGGCCTCCGGAAGAGTGGTATAAGTCCTTTCCAACGATTGAATGTTCTGTGTTTACTCTCTTCCCAGATTTGAAAGGGCGCTTTCTCTGTCTCGGAATGTTGCCTCGGATCTGGCGAAATTGTCTGCCCCGTTCAATGGCAAAGAATTTAAGGATCTCGCCAAAGAATTGGAACACATCATGGTATATGCTCTTCAAGTGGTGCTTCCCGGCGTCAGCTCCGATCCAACCTTTTACCTTCAGGCCACCGAAGTCCTTACTGCTGCTGTCAAACATAGACGCGCCGTCTCAGATCTCTTTGCGAATCCAGCAGCAGCACGGAGCGCCATTTTAAAGCGTGCTGGAGATGAGCCTTAGCTGGGCATTGTCGATGCGATCCTGACAATACCGCTGGACCACGTTCAGAAAATCCCAGAGCCCCTTGTTCGTGTTGCAGAAACCCGCGAAACTGTCGGCGCCGCTCGGGCACTCAATCCAGATAACATTGTTGAGCCCAGCGATGACCGTGTATCTGAAGAACCGTCTTCGAATGCAAAGCGTCACGCTAAAAAAATCCAGCTCTCGACCTGCTTCAACCCGAACGAAGTCGACGTCCACTCGAATGGTTGCAATCGAGGAAGAGATGGCAGCCGCCCCTGAAACGCATCTCAATGATGAGGCGAAGAAGGCCGATGCGAAAATCAATGCTCCGGCAAAGAAGGCGGAAGGCTTGATGCACCCATTTGCGGTGATGTGCTCAGTGACCAAATCAGCACCCAAGATGGTATTCCCACCTGGGGTGGTGATGGACGTCCAGGAGCTGCTCACTAAACTTCTCTTAGCCGTTTTAGTTGCGGGGTACAAGAAGCCTACCCAGACTTACGCGAAGGCCGTCGTGCAAGCAAAAATGTACACGGAAGCGTCTGTCAGGTATCTTGCAAGTCTGGGAGTGACCAAACAAGCTGTTTTCGCATTGGCGACGGATGGCCTTGAAGGAGCTGTACTTATGGCTTGGTGCTCGAGCGACTCCGAGGTAAGTTCTTTTCTTGTACTGCTATGCCTACGCTTATCTCATCTTAGACCGTCTACATCGTTGAGCGCAACGTTCAAACGTTCAACATTTCCTCGCCCATCGAGATCTACCATTTTGTCACGGTCCTTCTGCGTCTGCGAGAATATGGGGACACAAAGCTGGAGGATGCAGTCTTGAAGGTATTAGAAGTGGATGGATTCCAACAAAAGAGCTGGAGTAAAACGGCACAGTTTAATAAGGTGGAATGAGATTGCATTGACTGGTATTTTACGAAAAGCATTCTTTGCTTTGATTGGATGTATCCACATGCTTTCTACGTGCTATTGCTAATTTATGTGCTATATATTGTGCAATTATGATATAAAATTTCCGTACTCTGCCAAGTATTCGCCATGGCTTTCCCCTGAACGCTCGGCTTCATCTCGACTCACAGCTCAGCGGCCTCTCCAAGTTGAGGGTTGTTAGTCCACATGGAACCATACCACAGGAACACGCGGCAGCTGAACTGGATTGTACAGTAGTCCTTGCTATATGTACCTGGTTAGTACTAGTACAGTATGTACTTCACCGGTAGGCCGGGCGGCCGCGGTGGGAGCACCATCAATGTGCGATTAATTATTCGGTGCAGTACGACGTAGCGCCGCAGCTGGAAGATGTACGCGTTGTTCGTCCCATCATAATGCTGCTCATATGTGAGAAGCGGTTCTTCCTTGGCATCTAGAAGTTATTCATTTTTCTGCAAGGATGAGCTTCGACAGCAACATTATTAGTCGACCTCTGACCATCCTCCCGGAACACTACTTCGTAGCATTTCACGTAGATGCTGATCCGACTGCAAGTCGGTCATCGGTGCTGGGGCGCTCGTCTTGTCCTTCTGTACAGATAAAAACGGAGATTTATTGTCTCATCTCTCTCAACGAGCCACGGTGCCTTCGCTGCATCACCTGGTGCGGGTAGTCACGAGCTACGCTCGGCCATCGAAGACGAACCGTACTATACTGACTTTGTGGCTTGGTACTGATACATCCTCCTGTACATCAGTCCAAGTGTATGCTGCCATCTGGACAGTCCATTTGTTACCTAACGATCTTCCTTCTCATGTCCTCCAGCCTGCTGACCTCATCGGTACCATCTTGGTCTACCTCTGCCACCCAAACCATCAGCCGCATCCGGCGTTCTACACACTGGCCCAGTCCCTACAATCACACGGAAACAAAATAGGCCTTGGCACTGTGGCCCTGATCCGACTTGATTCTGACATTCAATAACCCTCAAATAGGATCATGCCGAGTAATACTGAACCTACGACCGAGGCTCCCATCTCACCACGCACCATGAGTCTGTTCTTAACCGTCATCGATCTGCTCCTGCTCCTCCCTGTCCTATGGCTGCCTTCCTGTTGTCCTTGTTCCTTCCTCTCGCAGCATCCGCATTGCCTGTAGAGAACATTGACTTGCCGCCTGGGGTCACAGATCACGGTGTTTCCGACCTGCTGTGCACGCCTTCTACATGGTTCACCGTCCTCACCTTTTTGCTCTCAAACTATGTCAGCTATGCCGCTACTATTCAGACTTACCCCGGCGAACCCGTCTTCGACCAGACTCTCGGCTTCTGGACGGCGCTGCTCTTCCCAGCGTCCGGTGTAGCCAGAGGCCTCAACAGCGTCGCGCGCGGGATCCTCATCTTAGCGAATCGAGGAGGATCGGACCTTCAGAAAGCTGCGGCTGCGGGAGCGCTGTGCATGGTCGTGCGCACGGACAAGTGGACACCCGTTGCTGGGCATACTATGCATGCTGTCAAGATATCTGGTGAAAGGTACGTGTGACTTTGATAAAAAAGACAATACTCTCTCAGACCGGAATGGAATTTCAGTGATCTCTCCAAGGCGACATGGAACGTGTATGTCCCAGACTGGATCCGCTCCTCGCTCGCTGATATGGCTTCCGCAGCATGGCGCAAGTTCCATCTGCACGGTGCGTCGCAACGGTTGCCAGAAGGTTACGCATTCGCCTTGGTCCCGCCTACTGCCGTGATCTCCACGACCGGGAACAACCAGAACGTGCAGCTCGCCTACTCTCTTAACAATGCCAAAATCATCCTCTCTATATTCCAGACCGTATCTTCTTCGTATACGCTCTACCGCGCGCGTGGCGATCAGATCGAACGATACGGCTACGTCGCTTTCTCCTTGACTGTCGCGCCGTACATAGTAATGTCCCTGGTGAACCTCCTCGGGAGCTTATTGACGCCAACGTACACGACGGTGTACATCGTACGCTCAGAAGTGACGGACGAGCTGGAGTCGCGGTACGGGCGGTGGTTCGACGGAACTGTGGGGACGCTCTCGACTATAACCGACCATCGAAACCTCACGTTCACGTCCGACGGCGAGAAACACCTTGTGGAGATCAACGGGGGCACGGACACGGGCCCGATCGTCCTCGCCCCGGAGTGTTGCTCCCCAGGTACGACCGTGCATATATCCATCCCCGCGTGCGCCGAGTTCCCCCGCCTGCCCTGGCGCTTCGCGTTCCTCGAGAAGATACCGAGCCCGCTCCAGGGTGGGCTGGCGAACAATGCTCTGATCAACTTGGTGGCGACATTCGTGGTGTCTGTGGGTGCGCCGTTGGCGATCATCGGGGCGCTGTCGGGGTTCCGGCATGGGGGGAGCACGCTGACGCAGAGGGTGTGGATCACGACGTGGTTGGTGTTTGGGTGGGTGTATGGGCTTGGGTTTGGGTTTAGGATGTATGATGTGCCGGCGACGTGGAGGACTAGATGGGGTGAGGTGGCGTTGAGGGCATTAGTGGCTGCTCCGGCTATTGGAGGGTTCGTGGTTGTGGTGCAGATGATCCTGGAGTATGGAAATTGTTTTCGCATTTGAGTTGTAGTCAGGAGGGGATTGCACTATCTTAAGGCGAGTTCGTCTACTAATACCTTTGCTCTTATAGTCAATCATTCGATTCATTCGATGCACGCATACTAACACTTCATTTGTACACCACCCACACATCACCACATCTATGGGGTTCTTAATGACAAACAATTCAATGACCAAGATGATCTATCCTTCTACACTTCTGTTCTTTTTCTTCCGATTCGCATATAATTTCCGAGGCCTTCGCTACGTCAGAGAAGACTCGGAATGACGGATCCAGGTATCGTATTCAAGAAAGGATCCGTTCTGAAGGTGCGTGGGCATGGGGGGATGATACAATCTCCAATCAAGCTTTCGCGGTATATAGATGGCATATTCATTGTTTTCGCGGTGCTGGCGGTGTAACCTAGGTGGGTGGAACTGGTGGTCCGCCAGCTTCAGTATTAATGTTGGGAGCGAACTCTTACACTTATCGTCCAAATTAGCGGCTCGTGGTTAGTGCGGCATAAGATACATGAATAAGTATTACATCGTTCGAAAAGTCTATTTGATAAGTAACGAAATTACAGAGCAACAGATAAAAGAAGACAAATCAAAGTAGTGGTCAGAGCCCACAACTCTGGATGTAATCTCCAACCAGCGCTACCTTGGGTGTTTCTGGAACAAGTGTCAACTCACGACAAACTGAGATTTTGGGGGACGTACTGTGGTGAGCTTGTGCTCTGTGTCTGACTGGAGCCACTGCTAGAGTTAGCTGGGCGTTCTGAGATTGAAACATCCAGAACGGCGACAAGACCATCTACAGCGTTCGTTACACCCTCAACCCATACAGTCAAGTTGTGGTTGATGCCAATACTTGTGTTCTGTAGGAGGCCTGAAGCATACATGACGCTGGTCTGGTATGTGTAGTTTCCGTAGGATGTTGATCCTGAAAACGTCGATGCGTTGGTTAAGGTAAGAGTGGGTATTACGGAGCCAGTGATGTTGCCGATTATATAGTCGCGGCCGAGGTTGTATCCGTTGACCACAATGTCATGACCCTCCGCTTCTGGCTCTTCATATGATGCTGCCATGAAGATGGCACCACTAGAGAAGAGTCATGTCAGTCAGGTGTGGTACACACTGTTGAACTGTAGAAATAGATATTAACCTATTGGCCCCGGTGCCGTTTTGGACCCAGTATCGAAAGTGGTTACCTCCTTGCACGGTCTCTGTGCAAGTTCCTACGGAAGAGTCACCATAGTCATAGCGCATGACAGCCGTTTGGTTTACTTCAGAGAGCGCCCGCCAGTCAGAAACGTGAAAGAACATACATGAAGAAACGTACGTACGAAGGCCTTTTCCGTCCCCAAGATTGGCTTGCTGAGAGTCTCCTTCGTGTAAGCCTAAGCACTCGCCGGCGAAAGACAATGACCTTTGAAGACAATTCGGTGATATATCAAGAACAGTAAGATATATATCTCACAAGAAATAATTTAGGAGCCCTCCATCGGTCTGCTGCAAGGCGAGAACAGCTTCGTCGGAGTTGCCTGATATTATCATGTTCAAGGGCTCCTGCTGACCGGGCGGATATGTCCCCAATATCGTCTAGAACTTTACATGAGTTGTTGGGTAGACACGTGTATCAGTGCGTTCACCGTTAGCATAGACCCCCTATCATCGTACGGATTATAATATGCCACCGCAGATGCGGCGCGCCTAACTGGACTTTTATCTGCGGCAAGAGCAAAAGAAGAGAGGCAAAGCAACTTGAAGAGGAACGCAGATGATTGCCAATGGAAAGAGACGAACATGAGCGTCGAAAGCGTGGCTCATATTCTCAGTGTGGGCCGATTCGTAGCACAGGATTGCACGTGAAAAGAAGATTCAGCGATCGGATCTAGCTGATGATCTCGATTTGATTTTTTTTTTTCCTGAGATTTGCTGGACCGGCGGTAAGGAAAAAAAGGAGCCAAGATGCATGTTTTCTGTTTGGAAATACTCAGTGAAGATTGAGGCATCTTATCTTTATCGTACCTCTGGTAATTCTTAGTGGCACCGTAGGTCTCCCCAATCTCCAGGAAATTGGTTCTATCGAGTCGATGATTTTACGAGCCGAAACAAAGCCATATCGGAAGGTTCAAAATTAAGGTCCGTTTGAAATATCACCAAGGGAGAAAGCAGATAAGTGCCAAGTTAAGATCACACATTGAGTACAAGGAGAGCGGCCCACCGGCCCGATACGTTTGTTGATGCTTATTTGCGCTAAGCGCTTCACCAACGACCACGACCACGACCTCGAGACCTTGGTTTCACCGTGGGTCATGAGCAAGCCAGCAAAGCCAAAGGCTGTTCAAGGACAACAGGCGGGAGCGTACAAGCCTGAATCAGTCAAGGCAGGTCTCTTCTATCTGACAGGAAACATTGCCTACATCCGTGCAGGATGTCGCCGAATTCTTGAACATAACAATCTCGGATTCTGTTGCCTCTTCGTTGGCCAGCGATGTCGAATATAGACTACACCAGGTTATTGAGGTGCGTGGGTTTCCTATGTCGCAAAGGCATCCACTGACCTTCATGCAGGAGGCAGCTCGATTCATGCGGCACGGACGGCGAACCATGATGACCACGGTTGACATCGACCAAGCATTTCGCGTCCTCAACCTCGAGCCCCTGTACGGTCATACCCCACACAATCCCCCGACTTTCCGGCGTGCGCCGGCATTCTCGCATATGCCTGCTGCTGGGCCCGTTTATTTCGTGGAGGATGAAGAGATCGATTTCGACCGTGTTTTGAGGGAAGAGAAGATATCCCTCCTACCAGGCGTGAGCTGGACGGCACATTGGCTAGCAGTGGAAGGTGTTCAACCCCTTATACCGGAGAATCCTCCCGCCATTCCGCGCGATGTTGACCAGGAGGGCGGGAAGTCGCCACCTCGAATGAATGGGATAACAGCGCCAATGGTGCCCGCAGCAACTAAAAAACAGCAACAACAACAACAACAGCAACAACAGCTTGTCAAGCAGGTTCTGTCACGCGAACTGCAACTGTATTATAACCGTCTCACTTCTTCTCTACTTCCTTCATCCTCGGACTTCACCAAACGAACAGCAGCACTGGCCAGCCTAAAAAACGACGCGGGGTTGCAGGCGCTGCTTCCTTATCTCATCAAATGGGTCGGCGAAGGAGTGGTGGGTGCGCTCAAGGATGGGTCGCAGAGTGAACAAGACGGTCGCATGCTCGAGGTGCTCCTCGACGTCATCAGTTCACTTATGGAAAATCAAACGTTGTTCGTCGAACCATACGTGAGTCTTCTGTTGCTGCCAATCTTGTATTTTCTAGGCGCTGCAACGTGATCCAAAACCGCGCCGACTGGGCTTCTGTCCCTGGAAACCACATCTGAACTTCGCCTCAGAATGTCGCTTTCTGTGGCAGAAGGACTGTTGCGTATATGGAATGACCTATCAGCGTCTGAGAATGCCGCATCTATTAAAGCCATCTTTGATGCTGATACGATTCGATTCTAGCTTCATCAAATACTTCCACCGATACTTTCTACCCTACTCCACTCTTCTTTACCCCCTACTCATGCGACATATCTCCGTACATCAGCATCCCAGACGCTATCGCGGCTGCTTACTCAACACTCAACAACATACCCTTCGCTTTCACCCCGGATAATGAAGACGCTCCTTCTAGCTCTCATATCGCCGAATAAAAGCATAGGTACCCGTGAGGGTGCTATCCGTGGCCTCATGGGTGTCGGTAAGGAGGCTGTCAGAAAAGGCCTTGTGGATGGCGGTGGCGCGAAGGTGGTGGGCAGCGAATGCAGTGGTCCCGGCACCGCATCGCTAATAGATTCTGTTATGGTGAATCTGTTTCCTCGACAAGCACTTGACCATGTCTAACTGTCTTCTAGGCTGCGTTTGAGGTCCTCCACCCTCGCTCGGACATGGCAGATACACTTGATATGACACAAGAAGAAGACGTCGCTTTGAGAAGCAAGTTGCGGGAGGCTTTAGGCGACTTTTTCGCTGAAAGGATCTCAGGAGACGCTGCCTGGTCTCGAGGAATCCTTGGAGCGAGCAATGGGACCTGATACGAGGAGATTCTTTTGCATATTTTGCTCATTCTTTGTGGTTGCGTGCTAGTGTATCGTGTATGACTACTAATCTTTTATTTGCAGTATCATTGTATCGCTTCTTTTGACTCTCATTCTTATTTTAGACTCTCGATGCCGAGGCGTCACTCAACGTGCAGGGGCGTTTGTTTGACTCGGCTCGGTACCATCACTTTGATTGTTCTCATTCATCACCTATACATCACCATCACTCGTCACCCTCTCTCACTATCTCAGTACTACGTGGTTGCGCTTGTTATACCAAAACAAAAGAAGGTTGCTCAGTACCGTCCTTCCCTCAACTTCGAAACGTGGCGACCCTCAAACCAGAGATCATATACCAGTGTCATGGTACTTGGCGCCTAAGGACATCGGATGGTTCTTTTCCTTTTTCGAACCATTCAACAGCATCTGAATGACTCGAACTATTCTGACTTCTCTTGCTTTTCAGTTAAGCTCGTGGCCGTTTCACCATGATCTCCTGCGCACAAATCAATGCGCCGTCCAAGACACCCGCTTTATGGGCACCTGCCGGCCTACGAGAGCTTTGGATGAAGAACCCGGGCAGCATGGAAGCGATGATGAAGGAGATGTCGCATGATTTTCGGGTTCTCCAGGTCCACGGAACGCTGTTCAAAGTAAGTCGTCGAATTCCTTCGTGGCTTAAATCAGTAACAACCCCGGCAGGTTTACGCACCTTCGATTATTCCGCTCGCACCAGCGCTAGCAAAAGAAATCAGCTCCTCGAGCAAAGGAGCCCGACCTGACGATCCAATCATACTGTCCGATCCCCCGGAATCATCAGAACATTTCCAAGCTTTCTTATTTGGAGTATACAAACAGTAAGACAGCGCTACTTTCCCAACTCCGCCCTTGCTGACTCCAGCCTCCAGATCCGATCTAGACGTACGCGTGGTGTCCTTTCTCGACATCCTCCTAGTTGCGGAGATGTCCTTCCATTATGGAAACATCAATAGCGCATTCTGGGCCATGGAGGGTGTACGGTTGGGGGTGTACGCCACACAAGATAGACCTTTGCGCTCTGCGTCGGCAGACCTCTTCGTACGGCTCCTCAAGGTGGCTTTCATCTGCGAAGATGATGCGCTATCGCATTCGGTGCAGTCCCAGTGGCTTTGTAGGCTCTTCCGAGGGGAGCTATCTCCGCTGCGGGCGATAGAAATGGGGAGCAAAGAGCCTGGTCGGTTAGAGCACCTCCTGAGCCACGCGTATTATGTTCATATGGTTCAGCTGGATCCTCTGTTGTCTGCAGGCCAGTCCATCGAGGCCAGATCCCCCTTGTCGAGTATCCAGAACCTCCACGTCTTTTGTGGCTATTATTCTCTGTCGACGTTTATAGCGAAGATAGGGGAATGTCCCCGGCCATTTCGGAGAGGAAGGGGGTGCATGTCTCATGCGGATTGTGAGAGGGTGTGGAAGGCGAGCTGGACGGCTGCTATGAAGAACAGTTCAACGGGATCTGAAGTGGATATTCTTGGACGGTTGAGAGGGGTCGTGTTGGAACTAGGGAGGGACCAACTGTTGCCGCTTGCGATGTTCCATCGTTGTCGTATAAATGCGTTGGGCAGTGTTGCGAAGCTTAGAGAGACCATTTCTAAGCAATTAAATCACCATTTTGATTTGTAAATCGGGAATGATCGGATGATATGTTTCGATGAGAACTGGTAGAGAGAAATTACCCACGGTACGCGACAGAGAAGAGAAGGATTTCGCATGTTTTCAGGCCAGGTCAAAAACCCCGTGCTGTCAAAGAATTTGGGTTCCCAATCGTAACCTCTGCAAACCTTAACCTTTACAAACCTTAATTTTTGGACAGCGATACTGTCGCTCGGCGGAGGCTGGTCGACTTTCTATCAACGATACATCTTGTAGACTCGTTATTCGTCTAGTGTCGGACTCTTCCCTGCGGCAGTAGGCTGCCAACTTACCGACGACACGCGACTCGAAGATTATCATCTCGTTCACACGTTCGAGGGCGCATGACGCAATATGACACGAACCCATTCCCAAAAGCTGCCATAGCGTACACGTGAAACCCAAAATCACCATTGATATTGGTATAAGAGAGAAAAAACGCTCGCATGTACACTGATATAATAGTTATAGCAATGGAATAAAATGCAACACACGTCGTCCGATTAATTTTGGGTGGGGGTCATCACAATCATCGCAAGTCATGAACACATTTACTTCTCCCCCGATGAATGCCCAGGCGCACCATAACTCGCCTCAGGATCTATAACAGCGCATACAGGGAGGGTCCATCTCACCTAGTAAAACCCAATGAACTGAATTACCAATTCATTCTCCACGCTGACGGAGATATTTTACTCACTGTATGCCCAATAGTCAGCTTGAGGGCGCTCCAGCATACGGCTTAATTCCACATACAGGAGCGACAAGGTGATATCACCGGTGGCCTTTGCCTGGGCGGCGAGCTCATCCTCGAGACTGAGGTCCAAACGGAGGTTCAAGGCCTCCTTGGGCGCAGCGGCACCCTTGGCAACAGACGAGAATTTAGGAGAGGCGGAGTGGGTAGCAGTCTCCTGGACGAACATAACGTGGATGCTAGAGAAACCTCCGCGGGAACTGGATCCTTTTATACACGCATTGACTTTGGACCGAGGGTAGAAGTAACGTTACTTCCCCCGCTGTATGTATTGCTTGCCAATAAACCGGGTGCCTCGTCGCAGCAACTTAACTAGTTCCAGACTCAAGACTCAAGTCAGAAAGAAGACTGAAAGTTCTCGGCACGTAACGGCCGCATTTTGGAATTTCATAACTGTGGGTCGAATCTGTCCATTACTGGAGCGCTTGGCCGGGAGTAAATTCGGTTTGAGGAACGGAATGCGGAGAGGCGACGCTCGGGACAGTTAAAAAAATCGAAAATTCGGATGGCGTCGGCTGAAACAGCGGGAATCACGACTAGGGTGCGAAGTCACCGTGCGCGCGACGCTCGCGCAAATCCCATTCTTCTTTCTTCTTCTAGGTGCCAGAGGCACCAAATGGAAGTCTCCTGCGGAGCATGGTGCAATTATAAGAATGCGAAACGAAACCTTGCTTGCTGTACTTTGACTATCTCTGGAAATGTATCCGTTACCGTATGTGCGCGTGAGGAGACGGGTTTAACAGGAGGATGAAAGCTCGAATCCGAGATGGAGCTCAAGTCGAGGTGAAACTTGGACTGGGTTGTTAATATGACAGCGGTCCGAATAGCACCAACATTTTCATTTGACCTAGGCCCGTCCTATTAGTCGCCACGGTTTCCCCAACAAGAGTCTGCTTTGAGTTACGTTATTTTCGCAGAATAGCTCTAGCCTTCAGGACATGTTTTTTCTGTAGGGCGTTCATCAGTTTTCCGCTCGAATAATACATAAAAAGGAAGTTGCATAGTCCGAAAACTCGCCTCGGAGCGGTCATTCTGAAATGCCATTCGGGGATGTTGCGATGCGACTCATGACCCACGGCGCTTAACTCGTAGCGCAAGTCATTAACTGTGCAGAGACTTCTGAATTGACTCTGCCCCCTGTCGACATCCTATGGGCCACACCCACAAAGAATGGAAGCTGATACACTGAATCAAAAAAGAAAAATTTTAAATTCCACACCATAATGACGAAACATATAACCATTCTATCGAGGTTGAACCAACGGCTGTGATTGGCTCCAATAAATGCTGTTTTCCGTCGCAGACCATACGCCCAGCGTAGATATATACCCGATGACACCTAGAACATACGCCATTAAGATCACTAGGCCAAAGGTCAGCAGAGAAGAGAAAGGAAAGGTAACGGACGCACGGAATGTCTTGGAAGGAAAATGCCTTAACTCTTGTTGCAGCCCGGGAACCCCCATTATATTACAAAAGACATGTGCGGTGATAGGAGGCCATATTGACCCGGTTCGAAGGAACAGGTATGAGCAATGGAATCCAAAGAGCGTAGTATATGTCATTTGAAATGCTTTTGAGAGTCAGGACGACGTATTTCCTGACGGTAATACGACCTACCAATGATTATAATAGCACGCTTCAGTGCTGCGTTGGTCCGTCCAAAGCGGTTGTAAGCATCCCAAGCATGATGCACGTGTGCTAGCACCATGTTCAGCGTTGATGTGCCACAAAGCGGAATGATACCCACCCAGGCCGAACCACAGCGGAGCGAGGAATATCATGCGATAGGCCGACGCGCCCGATAGATGATAGACGGAGAGCATGCATGCCCTGAAAACAGTCTCTTCTGTCAGAGGTGCCTGCAATGGCCATCAGGTGATTCCCAGCAACAGAACGAACCAGGCTTCTCACCACAACAAATGTCCTCAGTCCTATAATAGAATAGAATGCATTCCAGGCACTATTGTTTCGGTTGAACATCTTCTGGAACGGTAATGTTCTGTATAAGGACATCGCGAACAAGGGGCCAAGAAAGAGCACTGGCGTTATCAAGTGGGCGACCACGGGATGAGGTGCTGTAAATCCCAGTCGCTCGAGAGTGTCGGCTCTTGCCTCACTAGCCGTCTGTACGACAATCAGAAAGACGTCTTATGCAAAAGAGGTCGTCGCGCACCGAAAACGCTTTCAGCCGCACCCAGTATACGACCAAGCAGGACACCACCGTCGAGGACACCACTGCCGTCAGCCGCGCCCGAATGACGTCCGGATCGTCTCTCCATCGTTCTTTCTCTTGCTTCTGCCTGGACTCGCCTTCCGACACCTTGACAGTCTTGGAGACGAACGACAGACGCGCATTTTTGGATATGTAAAGAGACCCGACGTAGGAAGAGGCGAAGAAAAGGGCGAGAAGCGTTGCTTGCGACGAGGACAGCGGTCCGGCGGTGACCATGGCGGTCGCTGTGAAAGAGAGGCTATTATCGTCATGACCGTGTTTGACCGACGCGATGAATGCTAACAAAGGATGTCATCGAGATAACAAAGAGACAATAAATATAGATAAATGTCATCCAGATGATTCGTAGAAAAAACTATCCGAAAAGATTACATGTTTACTGCAAACTTCGTTGTGACAGCAACGTTCATTGGGCGCGAGTCATTGTCTTTTTTTCTATCAAACTTCGATAGGTATACCGTTCAAGTTGTATACAATACCCCTCGGCGTGAAGGCTATGCCCACCTAAATGCCCGATCGAGACCAATAAATAGAGCACTAAACGCCGCGGCACGACAAACATTGGAGAACTTGGAGGGTAGTAACACTCATATCGAACCGAACGTGGTGTGATGGATTAGCGCTTAGTGTACATTTGTACGAGAATGAAAAAATATATAACGCGTACAGCTCTTTGGAAACCTCGAAGAGTTTCTGCCATGGGGATTGGAACAAATACACGGTATCAAGCATATCAGGCATAGTGCTGAAGCAAATGACAGCCTATAATATATATAATAGATGATCAACGATGAACCATGAAAACATTATGGGGGAGTGCAGAAGTGATAGGCATTCCTTTCGCAGCTTTCCCAAGTGAACGTAAGGGTGAGATAAGTGGGCTAAGCGGCCCGGGAATGACGGATCCTATGTTTGGTTGTACGTAACTGGGTAAATAATATTCAAACTCACCTCTCGCCACCATCGTGAAGGCGTCATTCTGGCGGCCCTTCCTATCTGTCTTTCATACGCGAGATGCAATAACAGTGATCTTGCAGTATTTTTCAAGCCATCTCAATGACACGGCCGCCCTAATGCCCGGGAGTCGACGCCCTAGCTTACCATCCTCATACGATTCTTCTGCTATAGATGGTGCAATATCAAGATCTTTGATCAGTAGAAACGTGAATGATGCAAAGCCGGGCTCTGCGTATCCAACGTGACTTATGAATGTCTGCGGGGCCCAAGATCCGACACGTGTAGGCAACATGTCCTACTGGGGTTCTCTTGCTGCATGTAAATGCGAACCATGTCCTTCCAATAGCCCCACATCCACATCCCCAGACAATACCCATGTCCCCCTTCACAGTCTTTGACCCGGCTCACAAAATCAAACAACTCTTCTGGATCTTCCGTCGTTCGAGTCGGAGGCAGAAGACATTTCAGCGCGCAGACCCGGTTGAACCGCCGTCAGCCGAGCTAAAATGTAAACAAGATCGTCATGATACGTCGCTTAATGAGCCGGCTATGTTTGCTGTTGATACAGCAGCTGTGTGCGTTTGGGATGACGTTTACTGTTCAAATGGGGATGATAACGACGAGGAGGGCGAATACTATATACTAAGGGCCCAGAATACGCTCTTCAAGGTATGTCATGTCCATTTTTGATGCCCCCTCTAGTCTCATATTGGTCTGAAGGTACGAAGATCTATTCTGGCGCGAGATGATTCAGCCTTCCAAAGCTTGGAGTCATTTCGATGTAGCTGGAAATACGGCCACTCGCCTGTCATTAGGGTCCCCGAAAGTGCTGATAAACTTCGGGACCTACTGTGGGCTTTGCATCACCTGTGAGTTGCCTTGTCCATTGCGATCGCCACCTTTGCATTGAACGAATTACTCAGAGATCCACACAACCCCTACCTCGCTCATGGCCCATCTATATTTTTTCTCCTAAACATTGTCGAGCTATCCAGCAAATATCGCTTCCCCTCCTTTGAATCCTGGGCTGCCGATCAGCTGTACAAAATGCTGCAGGGAACAGCACTTCCATTCTCTCTCGTATTAACATCATCCTCTCGTTCAACATCCTCCTCTTCCATGACCCTCACCGAGAACCTGTCAGAGCCACTGAACATGGATTCGATCTGCATTCGACTTCTCGACATTTCCTTTACTTCTCGGTTTGAGTCCCTATTTCCTCTCGTGATACGAAAGATTGTAACCCGGACCTTGTGGTACGGCTACCATCCTGGGGAGACTCTCGTTCGGACCATACAAGGCCTTTCGGTCCGTCGGTCCCGCTTCAAACCCCACCTACGCCACCTCTTAGGGGTTGTCTACTACCGGATGCTAATAGATCTCCCATGCTTCTCGACATCCGGGGGAGGTGTTATTTTCCCGCGTTCGATGGATATCGAACTGCGGATGTGTTTCCTCTCGGCGCACGACTCGCTTACTCGTATGTGGGCGAGAATGCGGTCATCGCTGTCCCCCATTGGAGGGCCCGAGTCCGTCTTTCCCAACCCACATGCAGGATGCAAGGAAATGTGGGATTATTACTGGACGGAATCAGCTCGACGAGCGGAGCAGTCGAGCTCGGGCCGGAGGCGGAATCCAACCGACGTTTTGGGGTTGCTGAAGTCGACGATGATCATGGTGCGGAAAGTTGTGGCGGACTCGCCGTCGGTGTGTTTGGAGTGTTCTTTGGCTGGTCTAGAGGCGGTGGACAGGGTGCGGGATGGGATCATCAATAATCTGAGTGACTTGTTCGCGTATTGTTAGAGCTGGGACGGTTTGGACGACTTGTATTTGTACTAATCTCGCTTACCACTCCTTTAGTCGGTCGAGCAGGACGTGAAATGCGATCCTTGGAGGATCAAACTGTATTTCTGACTATGAATGACGCTGCAAATAATGTTCCTTTGTCTCCATATTCACACTGTATACCTTCTCTTTTCCGTGTAACCATGTCTTACATTTTGTATGCCACATATGATAACTTGCGTCAAGAAGGAACGCGATTTAAGAAGTATTAGGAATGTTTCATATATTAAATAAAAGCAGTTGACCGGGAAAACACTCCTTAGTTTCATACCCAATAGATCTGATTGATTGGTACAATATACAGACTCGTTCTAAACCTTCTCCTTTGCCTCGATATTCGTTCATAGTGTTCTAGTTCTACAATCGTAAGAGGCCGGTTACAGGAAACCGCTAAGAAAGACAGTTGGGGACGTGTGATCAATCTTGTGTCGAAACTTGGATGAATTGTGTGCATTGTGCTCCGTCTTAGATAGTAGCGCGATGGACCGGCAGGTAAAATGCTTCATTTCTCCATGACTATATAACATCGGATCTCTACAGTCCGCCCACTCTTTTGCCCTGTTTAACTGGTGATTGTTCTTCTACATATGTGTCTACATCCTGTCCATACCAAGTAATTATATATATAGAAGCATTTTCACTTGTGAACATTCCAGACAGTGGTAAGAGGAAAATCGAAATATACAACAGATTGCAAACCATATGAAGTATACCTAAGGTAAATGTAAATTTCCTAGATCTGTGCTACTTTCTCCACCTTCTATTTCAACCCTTCCTTTCCCGACTCTTGGGGACACGGAGGTCACGGCATCTGAGCAGACTTCCACCATTCCCCAATCTATGTGAACTTCAACTTTGTCTGGGTCCAGGCCATCCTTCTTTGCCTGCTCCTTAGCCCCTCGCAGCTTCTCCTCCACCATTGTTACCATCTCTTGTGCTGTGCTCTTTGCTGCTTCGATGTGGTCTGGGTGCATCTTGAAATGATCAATGTAATAATCTCTGAGGCAAAGGAGGAATGTGGCAAAGTGGAACACTTCTATGGGTGATGATTCTAAGAAAGTGATGTGCATTCGTAGCACCTAATAGAGTACACTGTTAGCTATAATGTAGACTACAGGATACCAATCAGTAACATAAATGAAGTAATATAAGTAGATACCCACCCTCACACAGCATAGTGATAAGCAGAAACATGGTGAGGGTGCTCAACAGACCATATTCAATATATATAGTCCATCCCGACATAAAGGGGTATCGAGCTCGGCTGGTGGGATATGATGGAGCTCCTGCTTGCTAATCCAACACTCCCCCTCAAGCAGAGTGAAGTCCAAGCTCAGTAGCAAAGTGCTTCACCTTGGCCAAAGGTAAAGGCTTGGTGAGAGCATCAGCAACCATGTCCTCAGTGAGACAATAAACAAGATGAAGGGAGCCCTTCACTGATGACCCAGCAAATGAAGTGGAAGCAAATGTCAATGTGCTTGGTTCAGGCATGATACTGATGATCTTTCAAGAGTGCAATAGCAGACTGATTGTCTGAGAATAAAGTTGTAGCATCAGTAATCAGTGAGAAAACTTGAGAGAGCAGACTGCAAAGCCAGAGTGCCTCCTTTGATGCATGTGTTGCAGCCACATATTCAGACTCAGTGGTTGAAAGTGAGATGATCTCCTGCTTTTTAGATGACCATGAAACAGCTCCACCATTCAGCATGAAAGCATACCCAGTAATGGCATGCCTATCCTCTGCCATGCTCTCATCAGCATCCACATATCCATGCAAAACCTTTCTGTTTCTCCCAAACATCAGCCAGTAATCCCTCATGCCCTTCAGATAGTGAAAGATGTGCTTTACAGCCTTCCAATGGGCCTCTGCAGCAGCCGTTGAATATTTCGAGACTGTTGTCATGGCAAATGTGATGTCAGGGCATGTCCTGAGCATAACCCAGATTAAAGAGCCAACAGACTCTCTGTAAGGGACATCTCTCATGGCTGCAATTTCTTGGGTAGAGGCTGATGCAGGAAAGGAAGATAAATGGAGATTAATATCCATTGGTGTAGAGACTGGTTTGAGGTGTTCAAAGCCATAGTGATGAACAATGGAATCGATGTACAAGCATTGAGAAAGGCAAACAGAGCATGACTCATGGTCATGTGTGATCTTGATGCCAAGAATCCAGTGCAGCTCTTCCAAATTCATGACTTTCATGTATTTTGCCATACCTTCCTTTATCTCTCACACTAGATGCAATGATGATGCTGCAATGGTGCAGTCATCAACATGGACAGCAATGACAGTCAAGTTTCAGCTCTCCTGCTTGTAAAACATGGCTTGATCAACATCACACTGCTTGAATCCCAGCTGCACCACCAAAATCTCAACAAGACATTGATACCAGTGATGACCATTCTGCTTCAAGCCATACAGAGTCTTTATGAGATAGCAGACTTAACCAGGATGGGAGTCAGACTCAGGATAGCCAGGAGGTTGACATGTATAAATGATTTCTTCATTGGTGAGCATTCCATTCAAGTATATGCCCTTGATATCAACTTGATAAAACTCTAGGTTGAGTGCTGCAGCCATAGCAAGGATTGAACAGATTGATGCAAGTCTTGCAATAGGAGCATAAGTGTCAAAGTAGTTAATGCCAGGTACTTGTGAGAACCCTTGTGCTATCAAGCAAGCTTTAAACTTGACTATGCCTCCTTCAGCATCCTTCTTGATTCGAAAGACCCACTTTGAGCCTATGACATTTGCTCCAACTGGTTTTTCAACAATTTTCCAAGTCTCCACAGTCTTTAATGTCACAAGCTCTTTCTGTATTGCATCTTTCTGTTAAGCCCAAATTCCACATGACCAATGACACATGATAAACTGATAGAACCTCGCACTTCGGGTTATACTATCAGAGTTCACTTATGTGCTATTGGCATTGTGTAGTCAAGGTGTTTGCAGTTCGCTCAAGATGAGATGATGAAGTAAAACTTTAGTTTGAGACTGGGGTGTTACAGCGAGAACTAAACTACTTAAATACTGTTCTGTTATCACATTATAAATAACTATTCACAAAAGATATTGTCTGCTGTAGAGCTGTTTCCCCTACTGTTGCCAGGCTTCCCACAAAAGCTGTTGTCTTGCTGTGGAGCTGTGGTCATGCACTGCAATTTGGGGACAAAAAGAGCATTGTCTCTCTCTTCACAGCACACAGCAGTGCAATAGAAGAATAACTGACTGAGCTGCTGAGCTAAGCATTCCCATAGTCATTAGTGCTGGCCTAAGTGCTCTGACTAAGCAAAGATAGAGGTTATTTCTGAAGGAAAAGAAAGAAAAATAGGAAGAAAATAGGAAAAATCATAACATTACCCTCTCCTTAAGACTATCGTTCTGATGGTTAAGTTAGGGTAAGTTGCCATGGCCAGCAGGAGGTGGCCGATCTGCTGGACCCATTGCTGGTGTTTGACATTGCTCTTCAGTGTATGTCCCAACTCTATGTGGCACCTCTGTTGGACCGCCATCTTCATTGTCCTGCTGTCTGTTGTTCATGGTATCGTGAGGTCGGTTGAAAGAATGGACAGGGTCATCTTCATTGTCCTCTCATACATGTCCTCTGCTGGTGGCAGGTTGATTGATGTATATCTGACTAGATACCATCCCCCTTCCCATTGGTGCCACATCTTTCCAGTCATAATGTTGAACATGACCATTCTTGGCATCTATTTTGTTGATTCTGTGCTCGTAATCTCGGATTGCATCCTCTGCATTCATGTATTTTTCGTTGACCCATTGATTTGATTCTGGACTATAACCCTTCCAGCTGACTAGATAGTCAATGGTTGTTTTCATGCCTCCACCGTGTGCTTTAACTCAGCACGTTTTGTGATTTAGCACTTCATTGATTTCATAGTGTTCTTCATTGTCGATGAGTTCAGCTGGTGGTGGAGGTGGTCATTCTTGGTTTGGAAAGGCTGGTGCGACATATGGTGTCAACAATGTTTCATTAAAAACATTATGGACTTTCCAAGTTGCTGGAAGCTGCAACCTATATGTGGAGTTGCCAATCTTTTTGATTACTTTGAAGGGGCTGGTGCATTTGTCTGCCAATTTTTGTTTTGGCCTTGGTAAGTGGAGGTTGGTTGTATCCAACCAAACTTTGTCATTGGTTGAATATTCATGTCCTGGTTGCTTATGTTTGTCATACTGTTTTTTCATTGTCACAGCCACCTTGTTAAGGGCTGTTTTGGTTTCTTTGTGGATCTTTGCCATTGTCGATGCAAAGTCCATTGATGCCAGTGTTGTTGTGTGGACCCGTCCTGTTTGTGCAACTGGTGGGTTTCATTCATAATTCACAAAGAAGGGTGTTTTACCTGTCGCTGAGTGAACTCTGTTGTTGTGTTGGAATGCTGCTAGTGCTAGCCATTCTGTCCAGTCATCTTGTTGATAACTGACGAAAAGTCATAAGTACTTTTTGATTTCTTGGTTGGCTCATTCTGTTTGGCCATCTGTCTGTGGATGGTATGCTGTGGAAGTATTCCTTTTGATATTGAGGAGTTGGTATAAGTCGTCCAAGAATTTGGAAACAAATTGTGGTCCTCTGTCTGAAATGACTACTTGAGGCATGCCGTATTTTGCATAGACCTCATCTCATAGTATTTTTGCCCATCCTTTGGATGTTAATTCTGTCGAACAGGTGATCATGATGATCACCTTTAAGAAGTGATCGACTATGATGATGATTGCGTCATAGCCGTTGCTTTTAGGAAGTCCGGTTATCATGTCCACCAAAATGTGGGTCCATGGCAATGCAGGGATCTCATTTGGGTGGAGTGGTGCTGCCTTGGGTTGTGTTGAAGACTTGCCTCACTGACAGGTTTCACAAGCTTTCACATATTGGGTGATATCATAATCTATTTTCAGCCACCAATAGTTCCTCAAGACCAGTTCCTTGGTCTTAGCGATCCCTGGATGTCTGGCAGTCGCATGATCATGATACATCGCGATGATATCACCCTGCAGTCGTTGATCTCATGGAATGTAGATCTATTCATTGTAACGGATCAGTCCCCCTTCCTTTTTTAGCCTATGCTCATGGTTGAGTGATGGGGCAATTCTTTGATTCTATTTGTGGGGATTCCGAGTGGCACTTTTGATGCATTCATGCATCTCTTCTTCTGTGGGCATGATCATTGCCTGGAAGTGTTCTGGTCATAGTAACACGACCTCTTTGTTGTTATCTCCTCCTTGATCATGA